TCTTTCTTGTGTAATCCAAGGCTACAGAGCGGCTAGTGACGATATTTATCTTCTCAAGATCACAGTAGAGTCACCAGGAAGTTGCCTCAAGGAAAGAGGAGCGATAATCTGACAAGAATATTAATAAAGTAAAAATTAAACATAGAGTAAACTGTTTTAATTTATTTTCCTTTCATGCTTCATAAAGCTGACAGTTTTATCTCCATATTGTTCATCATTCTTTGCATCTTCTGACTCTGCAGTGCAGCAGCGACGGTACGGCTGTTTTTGGCATACGTCTACCACTGGTGATGCCATCAGAGATGCAACGCTGTTTGATGATTACATAAATGACAGAGACGCCGCCGTCGGTTAAACCGTAGCCCCGCTCACGCCTCCCCTCCCCCAACTTCCTACCAACGCAGCAAACTGTGAAAAACTTCACATGGTGGCTGGTTGAGGTTAAAGTGACGCCGCCTGCACAGGTTCAGAAAACATCTGAAGGCTTTAGAGAGCTCAGAGATTAACCCCTTAGTGACCGGTTTGGAGACTGAGTTAAACAATTTTTTTTTTCCACTTGTGTTTTTGCTTTCAGTCAGATAAAGAGAAGTTATTCACTTCAAGATTGCACCAATTATTAGTGTAAATTTGGTCTGAGGCTAATTAGTGACTATTGGCATCTAAGGAGTAACAGAAAATTTTCTATCCCAACATGTTTACTAATTTATTTTCACTGTTTTGCTCATATAAGGCAAATGGATGAAGTCAAACTACATGTGTTTGAACAAATTTTACTTTTTTTTTTTTTACATCATCTTACTGTTTTAAATTGACCTAATTCTTTAAAATTCAACTTGCAATACTGCCTAGGAGCTAAGCCTTGCTCGCCATGGGAAAACAGTGTTAGAAAAAACTGAAACTGAAATAAAACAAAAATAAAAAAAGCAAAAAAATGTAAAATTTGTAATTTTGAAAAACTTGAATATTGGAAAATATGAAATCTTAAACTCTTTAAACATTTCTGTTAATTATGATGTTTTTCAAAGATTCATTACTGGGTTTAGTGTTTTTTTTTCTTTTACATTTCAATTTACAAACACAGTCCTTACAAAGATAATGGAACAAACTTCACTCCATACAATCCGGGATCAAACCGTAAATTTTAAGTGAAACTATTAGAGTTTAGAGACGCCGTCTCAGCAGTATGGAAGAAAAACAGTGTCATTGGAATCTGCCTTTTTTTGTACAATATATTTTAAACACAGAATTTTTTTTACACATTGAATTCCTTAAACTGAGTTTTTAACTGGGTTAGGGTTAGAAGCTGCTCGACGGCATCGAGTGTAGATTGCTTTGGCTTCAGTTCACCAAAAGGTCAACCCATTTGCAGCTGAATTTTTTTTGCAGGCAAATTTTTTGAAGCAGAATTTTGTTGCAAATACATTTTTTTTGCAGGCACATTTTTTGCAGCTGAATTTTATTGTGGCTGAATTTTTACTAGATAAAAATTCAGTGTAAGTAATTCAATGTGTAAAAAAAATTCTGTGTTTAAAATACGATGTCCAAAAAAGGCAGATTCCAACGAGACAGTTTTTCTTCCATACAGGAGCAACAAACAGCATTTTCCATGTAGACGGAGCAGAGGAAATGAAGCCCTTCTTTTTCCAGTTCCAGCAGAGAGAAACGTGATCATTTCCACTCAGAGGGAAACATTTTCTCCATGTGATTAAATTACAGCCATTGGAGGGTAGGAGCCTGAACGTTGCTTTAGTAATAAATAGATCAATGTTCTGCGCTACACTGCAAAAAATGTAAATCTAGGTATTTTTTTCTGAAAATAGGGGATTTTGTTTTGAATTGCGCGGATACGTGAGACACTTTGAAAATGAAGCAAGACAATTTACATTTAAAATAAGAAAAACAATTGCAGCCTCTTATTTCAAGTGCATTTTATCTAATTATCTTATTTTAAGGGTAAAAATACTCATTCCATTTGCAAAATATCTGATTTTCCTATTAGGAAAGTATTAGGGCAAGGCTAGATATTTTTTTTTCTTCTATTTTGAGAATAAAGTCGTAAAATTACGGGAATAAAGTCGTAAAATTATTTGAATAAAGTAAAATTATGAGAATAAAGTCGTAAAATTATGAGAATAAAGTCTTAAAATCACGGGAATAAAGTCGTAAAATTACGAGAATAAAGTCGTAAAATTATTTGAATAAAGTAAAATTATGAGAATAAAGTCGTAAAATTACGAGAATAAAGTCGTAAAATTATTTGAATAAAGTAAAATTATGAGAATAAAGTCGTAAAATTACGAGAATAAAGTCGTAAAATTATTTGAATAAAGTAAAATTATGAGAATAAAGTCGTAAAATTATTTGAATAAAGTCGTAAAATTATTTGAATAAAGTAAAATTATGAGAATAAAGTCGTAAAATTACGAGAATAAAGTCGTAAAATTATTTGAATAAAGTAAAATTATGAGAATAAAGTCGTAAAATTACGAGAATAAAGTCGTAAAATTATTTGAATAAAGTAAAATTATGAGAATAAAGTCTTTAAATTACGAGAATAAAGTCGTATAATTACGGGAATAAAGTCGTAAAATTACGAGAATAAAGTCGCAAAATTATTTGAATAAAGTAAAATTATGAGAATAAAGTCTTTAAATTACGAGAATAAAGTCGTAAAATTATGAGAATAAAGTCGTAAAATTACGAGAATAAAGTTGTAAAATTATTTGAATAAAGTAAAATTATGAGAATAAAGTCATAAAATTACGAGAATAAAGTCGTAAAATTATTTGAATAAAGTAAAATTATGAGAATAAAGTCTTTAAATTACGAGAATAAAGTCGTAAAATTACGAGAATAAAGTCGTAAAATTACGAGAATAAAGTTGTAAAATTATTTGAATAAAGTAAAATTATGAGAATAAAGTCATAAAATTACGAGAATAAAGTCGTAAAATTATTTGAATAAAGTAAAATTATGAGAATAAAGTCTTTAAATTACGAGAATAAAGTTTTTAAATTACGAGAATAAAGTCTTTAAATTACGAGAATAAAGTCTTTAAATTACGAGAATAAAGTCTTTAAATTACGAGAATAAAGTCGTAAAATTATTTGAATAAAGTAAAATTATGAGAATAAAGTCTTTAAATTACGAGAATAAAGTCGTAAAATTACGAGAATAAAGTTGTAAAATTACGAGAATAAAGTCGTAAAATTATTTGAATAAAGTAAAATTATGAGAATAAAGTCGTAAAATTATGAGAATAAAGCCGCAATATTATTTGAATAAAGTAAAATTACGAGAATAAAGCCATAAAATTACGAGGATAAAGTCGTAAAATTACGAGAATAAAGTCGTAAAATTATTTGAATAAAGTAGAATTATGAGAATAAAGTCGTCAAATTACGAGAATAAAGTCGTAAAATTATTTGAATAAAGTAAAATTATGAGAATAAAGTCTTAAAATTACGAGAATAAAGCCGTAATATTATTTGAATAAAGTAAAATTATGAGGAAAAAGTCGTAAAATTACGAGAATAAAGCCGTAATATTATTTGAATAAAGTAAAATTATGAAAATAAAGTTGTAAAATTACGAGAATAAAGCCGTAAAATTATTTGAATAAAGTAAAATTATGAGAAAAAAGTCGTAAAATTACGAGAATAAAGCCGTAATATTATTTGAATAAAGTAAAATTGTGAAAATAAAGTCGTAAAATTACGAGAATAAAGCCGTAATATTATTTGAATAAAGTAAAATTATGAGAATAAAGTCGTAAAATTACGAGAATAAAGTCGTAATATTATTTGAATAAAGTAAAATTATGAAAATAAAGTCGTAAAATTACGAGAATAAAGCCGTAATATTATTTGAATAAAGTAAAATTATGAGAATAAAGTCGTAAAATTACGAGAATAAAGTCGTAAAATTATTTGAATAAAGTAAAATTATGAGAATAAAGTCGTAAAATTACGAGAATAAAGTCGTAAAATTATTTGAATAAAGTAAAATTATGAGAATAAAGTCTTAAAATTACGAGAAACAAGTTGTATTTTATAACAATTCTTCCCAGAATCCCTTTCTTCCCTAAAATGAGGAATGTGAGCATCATGTGAAGTTAGCATCAGTTTGATAAATCAGGAAATCTTTTAGCAGCAGCATCAAACTGGGCAGGATGTCAAAGTGGACTCTGGTTGCTGATTGGTGGAGCTGGTCTTACATCATCTGATGGACGGAGCTCCTTCCTCTTTGTGTGGTCATCATACCACAGTTGTGGCTCGTTATATTTCAGCTTTATTCTAGAAATATTCTGACTTAATACGCGTAATGTTACAACTTTATTCTCCTAAAGTTAAGACTTCATTCTCGTAATATTACAAATTTTTTCCTTTTATTATTACAACTTTATTCTCAAAATAAATAAAAAAATCTCTAACCTGGCCCTAATATTCCATGGTAAGGGTAAACACAGTTATTTCAGAAAGTTTTTGCAGTGTACGGCAGACAAAGCAGACCGTCCTACATGAGAACCCAGCTGTAAATGATGCACAGAATTCCTCGGCTGGTAATAAACCTCAGAGAAGCAGGAAAACACAGAGTGGATCTATGGAAGACCTGATGAATTAAACAACAGGTCTGCTGATCTAAAATGGTTCAGAGTCGCTGCTGTTTAAAGCCCAAAAGCTGCTGCAGTTAGAGGGAGACTGGATTAACTGATAAACGGTCTGCATGGTGCTGCGGTTTGTTCTCCAGCTGCTGTGTGCATCCCTTCTGGGTACTCTGGCTTCCTCCCACAGTCCAGAGACATGACTGTGTTTCTGAGTTAAGCAGCCGTCCTGCTGACAGACAGATGCTAGAACAGGGATGGATTTTGGTGGAAACCCGACCTGCTGCACGTCTCTGCTCTGCTGCAGCAGCAAACATGCCACTGTTTTCTGTAGCTTTTGATAAACAAGCAACAGTAAAGTATTTCCTGATCAGCCGTAGTTCGAAGGAGGAAACTAAGGATAAAGAAGCTAAAGACTGAGCTGCAACTACAACACTTCTTCCTGCCTGTTGCCTTTTATAAAACCCGTTTTTCTTCCCTTTCAGGCTCGAAACATCCAGACGTCTGAACTGGCAGCCATTAAGATCGTCAAGCTGGATCCTGGTAGGTTGAAGAGTTTAAATGTTCATTTCAAGCACATGACTGAATGTGACTTTATGTACGTCCTTAAAGAATCCTTGAAAGGCGTCATAAAGCCGATTGGTTCTTTAAAACCAGAGCAGCTGTGTGTGACGTTCACCTTGTGGTTTAAATATCAGGAGAAACCTGCAGAAACAGAGTATGGAACTCAATTAGTGTCAAAAATATTCACAAAGTGACAAATGTTTTTCGCATGCGTGTCTCAATGTTTAAAGATCTCTAAAAGTTTCTCAGATTTACACTTTTCCAACGAATAATAATGCACTGAAAAAAAAAACTACCAATGTGTTCGACTCTAATCGTCATGGAGACGGATCGGCAAACACCAGAAAGTTTTTCCAAAATGCTCCAGTGTTTCCACAATAGAAATAGGGATGATCCGTTGCTTCAATATTGTTGTCACAAATAAAGGCCGTCTTTCAATCTGTGTACTTGTGCGTTCTCGAAAGAGTTCATCAGCTTCAGCCCTAGTACGCAGCAGCCAGGGCTAACGTAGCCCGTCTGCAGCAGGCAGGGCTAACTATAGCCCGTCTGCAGCAGCCAGGGCTAACGTTATCCCGTCTGCAGCAGCCATGGCTAACGTTATCCTGTCTGCAGCAGCCAGCGCTAACGTTATCCCGTCTGCAGCAGCCAGCGCTAACGTTATCCCGTCTGCAGCAGCCAGCGCTAATGTTAGCCGGTCTGCAGCAGCCTGGGCTATCTTTAGCCGTCTGCAGCATCCAGGGCTAACGATAGCCGGTCTGCAGCAGCGCGGGCTAACGCTAGCTCTTCTGCAGCATCCAGGGCTAACGCTAGCCCGTCTGCAGCAGCCAGGGCTAACATTAGGCCGTCTGCAGCAACCAGGGCTGACATTAGCCCGTCTGCAGCAACCAGGGCTAACGTTAGCCCGTCTGCAGCAACCGGGGCTAACGTCAGGCAGTCTGCAGCAACCGGGGCTAACGTTAGCCCGTCTAAAGCAACCAGGGCTAACGTTAGCCCGTCTGCAGCAACCAGGGCTAACGTTAGGCCGTCTGCAGCAACCAGGACTAACGTTAGGCCGTCTGCAGCAACCAGGGCTAACGTTAGGCCGTCTGCAGCAACCAGGGCTAACGTTAGGCCGTCTGCAGCAACCAGGACTAACGTTAGGCCGTCTGCAGCAACCAGGACTAACGTTAGGCCGTCTGCAGCAACCGGGGCTAACGTCAGGCCGTCTGCAGCAACCGGGGCTAACGTCAGGCAGTCTGCAGCAACCGGGGCTAACGTCAGGCAGTCTGCAGCAACCGGGGCTAACGTTAGCCCGTCTGCAGCAGCCAGGGCTAACGTTAGCCCGTCTGCAGCAACCGGGGCTAACGTCAGGCCGTCTGCAGCAGCCAGGGCTAACGTTAGCCCTAGCTGCTGCAGACGGGCTAACATAGCCTGTTTGCAGTGTCACTACCCGATCTGACCTGAAAGAACGATCGGTTCTGCGAGGAACGACCCGGATGTACGTATATCTTGATGCGCATGCGCAAATGAGCTGAAGGGCATGCGCATCAAGATATACATCGGGGTCACCCTATATTTTATTAAAAATACCTAAAGGATGTTTTCCCTCCCCAAAAATAGTAAACGTATCATGTGTTAAACATTAATAATGTATTTCCCGACAAAAATAAATGCCTTAAAATCCTATCTGTTTTATCACTCATCTCTTCCCGATCTGCACCGGAAATGGAATCCTACGCTACTTCCGATCGCTAACTTTTTTAGCTTTGGATTTAAACATAAATCTAGTCTTTTTGAGTTTTATTTTATTGTTTTGTTTTAACCTTATGCTATATAATCTAAAGAAAGAAACAACTAAAATGCAGATAAACTAAAATGCAGATAAACATGGTTTAATGATATTTAGCCAGACTGCTCTTAGCATTTCCCATGGTGACGTCAGAGACGCAGTTTAACAAAGAAAATGTAAAAAGCATCAAAATTGTCTCACAAAAGTCAAAGAAAATTTTTTACAGATGTGTATTAGCATTGTTTAGTGAGGTAAGGATATAAATACGTAGTTTTAGTCCAATCATTGCAGGCGTTCATTCAGGCTGTTTGGGAGCCATTAATCTTCCTGAACTGAAACAGCTGTTTCTCTAAGGCTGTTGTATCTTTCCAGACCTGACCCACCTGTATCCTGCAGGTTAGCAGCCAGATGACATTAAGCATTATGTCATACTGCTACAGAGGCGGCCAGGGCTGCAGTTTATAGGTGGATTTAGTTATTAGGCAGCAACTCGCAAACAGCAAAGATGCATCTTGTTTTCTCACTCAGGTTTTTTTTTTTCTACATGGTTTCATTTCCTTGAAACTGGTGCCTACTGTGTTATAATCTGTGCCCACCTCAGTTTCCTCAGAGCCAAACATGCATGTAGGAGTAACTCTGCTAGCTTGATTCTGATATATTTTTTAAAGAGTTTCCCTTTTTTGTTTTTATTTTTATAATGTTTTACCTCTGGTGTTGGATGATGTGCAGCTTAAAGCTTTTTGCAAATCTATTGTACTTTTTTCCGTGAGGTGTAACCATAGAAACCCTAGCTAGCTTGTTTTTTTTTTGTCCACCTGGGAGCTGCTTATTAAAATGTAAAGCTAAAATTAGTAGGGATGCACGATATAATCGGCCCCCTATCGGTATCGGCCTTAAAACTGAATATCGGACATCGGCCACCCCACCGATATTTAACCCGACATTTGATCAGCTTCTGAGTTTCTAAAGTCTAAAAAAAAAAAAAATACTACTTGTTCGTCCTCAAAAACTTTTTTACAGACTTATATCTTCATATGCTGATATATTGCCATTTAAAAACACCATATCAATCTCTTTTACTAATGAAATATTGCTATATGTCATCGTTATGCTACGAAATCCCCCGAAAATTCACCAAATGTTGCCATATTTTTATATGTTGATATATTGACGCGGTATCGATCTATTTTACTAACAAAATCTCACAAGAATTTGCAAAATATCACGAGAGTTTGTAACAGAACGATGAAATTTCATGAGATTTTGAAAGTAAAATAAATTGATACCGCGTTTTTAAAAATCAATTTGATATCAGCATATGAAAATATATTTGAGTATATTATTTTTCAAAGTGTCAGAAATGGATAACAAAACTGCTATTTTCCGCGACTACTTATTTTTGTCCAGCTTTAACATCGGTATCGATATCGGTTATCGGCTACATGAGTTTTAAAATATCGGCATATCAGATATCGGCCAAAATCCCAATATCGTGCGTCCCTAAAAATTAGACTTTTTTTACTTCCATAAGTCCCAGTGGAGTTAATAAGTAGGCAACATAGAGCAGGAGAAGAGAGAGGAGAAAGAAATTCAAGTAATCTCCTCCATTAATCAATATGAGCAATTAATTCCTCTAGAGCCGCTGGAGATGGCTTTAATTCTATTCAGTTTATTTCTATAGCTCCAATTCACATCATGTCATCTCAGGTCACTTTCCAGTTCAACCAGATCATCCAGTCAGATTGATTCAAAGTTTTCTATCTAAGGAAAACCAGCTGATTGCATCGACTCATTGACTCTTCAGCAATCCCTCACACTAAGCATGCTTGTAGCGACAGTGGAGAGGAAAAACTCCCTTTGAACAGGAACAAACCTCCAGCAGAACCAGTCTGGAACACGTCAGATACGTTGATATGTGTTGGAGAGAAGTTCATGATAAGTTACTCAAAGAGTAACTTACACTTAATGTATCTCAACAATCGGATAACTTACCTATAACTTATGGCCCAGCGGGAAATCTTAAGGTATGTTAAAAAATTTCCCGCCATACTTGCCCTACGTAGACGTGTTCCAGCATGTTTCAGCGTACCCATAACTTATCCAACGTATGCCAGCGTTTTTGCCAGATTTTTCGTACATCAGGCATAAGCTGGTCTAAATCATCAATTTTGTTTTTATGAATTTTGTGGGGGGGAAAAAGAGTTTTCAGATCGTCTGTCCTGCAGATTCCTGGTACATACAGGATGTATTCTGCAGCTGTTCTCTGTAGTCGAGGTAAATCTAAAGGTTTGCTATAGAACAACACATGTAGGATTGACTTTGGGTTGATTTGAACTCAGAGCATTTCAACCACCTCACAATACATCGTTATCTGAAGTGCTGATGCTTGTTATTTCAGTATGTATTTACAATTTGCTGAGGTCAGACGTTTCAGGCTCTAACCACAGAAAATGTTTACCTGAATCTCTCTGGACCATAGAAAGGTTGGGAATAAATTTCTACCCGAGTCTTTGAGTCCAGGCCTGGGATTTCGGCTCTGTAATTCTTTTCCTGTTGGTATGAGATCCTTCCTGTGTTTACGATGCGACGCTCTATAAGACGTATTTCTGTGCAGGTGATGACATCACATCCATTCAGCAGGAGATCACCATGATGAAGGAGTGCAAGCACAAAAACATTGTGTCCTACTTCGGCAGCTATCACAGGTTAGCCTGTTCACTTTATCCTTTAACAGGGTTTAACAATAAACCTTAAAATGGACCCTTTAATCATCCCCTCCTCTGCAGCAGAGGCTGATTTAGGAAATGTGGGGCCCTAGGCAAAGGCAGGCAGGGGGCCCTCTGAGTAGATAAGTCAACAAATAAAACAAACCCATTATCTGTTCTAGGTTGTGTCCCTCTCTTCTTGTCCCTTTTCTTCTTGTTTTCCTCTCTATGTTTTGTACTCAGCTGACTTTTCATGCTGTCTCTAAAGGAATGAAAGATTTTTTCTGAGCACTAAGCTCACTTAGCTGATTGCTCCTTCCTGTGTTTCCAAAAAGGCCAAAGTAAATAACCCAGTCCTTCTTTTCACTGTAGACAAGCCATGATCTGCTTATCTGTTCTCCATTTTTCATTTGGATGAAATAATAGCTGCATGAATCATGACAGCAGACAAGATAGAGGAGAGCAGGAGGCGGGGTTACCAATCTACTAATAATTAGCATTTAGCTCCCTTCCCACTGGTAAAAAAAATCTGATCTATGCCCTCGCTGGCAGCTGTGTGGCCTCTGTCCTCCCGCTGGGTTAGATAATGATGATGTCACCAGTGCGACAGACATCAGGAAAGTAAACAATGGAGAGCAACATGGAAAGAAGCCATCCATGTTTAGAAACGGAGTTGTTTCTGCTTGTTAGAGGAGAAGAGACTAGCGCGATGTGTGGAAGTCCGTACGTTGCGTTCATTGGTATCACGTAAACTAGTGTGTCAACCCGGATCTGTAAGGAACTAAAACAGTCTGAATTTTCATAAATGCATATATCTGATTCATAGATCCACAGGATAAGCTCCACACGCGCACAGCACATGATTCACCAAAGTATTTCTGGTCCATCAATAATCATAAATGAAATGACAAAGTACCAGTTGTCTTTAAACTTCACTGCATTTGTGTGTGGATTTTTGAGACTCTCCTTATGTGCCTCGATACACAAATGCATTTTTTTTTATTCAGGGGATGGTTTTCAACCAATCACAGAGCTCCCTTGTATAAGCCAATCATAACAAAGTAATCCACGCGAGATGACTATTTGCTCCGGTCCGATGTTCTGTCAGCTCGGCATAGTAATACGCATTACATAGTTTCCTCTGTCTCCGCTCTCCTTACAGCCAAGCACACTGTTTTATTTCACGATTTAGTCGGGTTTTATAGTTTTGTGCATAAAACAACAAAAAAAAATTCACTAGGTTCGTTACACACATTAACTTAAAAAAACAAACACTGCACGTCGGTTAGCTTTAATAAGCTGAGGATCTATGGAGAGATATTTGTGCCATCGGTTTGAGCGTGCAGGAACCAATCCGAGCGCGCACTGAGACAACACGCGCGCGCGCAAAACCGGTCTGGCGCATGCTCAACTCTGAAAAACCCTCTCAACACACTGTTCTCGCGCTCAGTTTCATCTCTGCGCGTGCTCGAATCCGTCTCTGCTCGCGCTCGACCTGCTCTCTCCGCGCTCAACACCAGCTGTGCGCTCGGCTGTTTCTCCGCTCGACTCTCTGCGCTCGCAACTTCAGCAATGTATGTAAATGAACCATACCATCAGCCAATCACATTCAGCTTCTTTTCATCCAATGAAAGCATTCATTCCTTCTTCTTGTTCTTGTTCTTCTTCTTTTCTATCATGGCGGATCGCAAGCAACTTTAAGGTGCATACCGCCACCTACTGTTCATGAATGTGTGGCAACATTGTTTTACATCTATTAAATTCTATTTTTTTATTTTGTATTCTACAGATAACTAAATAATGCTTTTCTTAATCTATAAATATCCGTTATATTTCCCTTATTTCCCAATAATCCTTTAAGACTCCATTCTTGACCTGTCCTTTCAACTACTCTTCTCAATTTTTCCCTTTCAGGTTCATATGTTTTGCAGTTCATTAATACGTAAGCATTCGTTCCAAATACTACATCCTGTTAAATGAAAAAAATAATAATAAAAAATAAAAAATCAGGAAAATCAAACAACTCTTACAGTTATTTGGTCAACGCTCCTAACCATTTGATGGACAGAAGATAGCACTATAAAATATCTTGAATTATCTCAAATAAACTTCAGTAAAACAGTTATTAGATCATTGCCTCATCCATCTCTTTTACCTGCAATTGACATGGATTTAAATTTGCTGTTTTAAAAGAAAAATAAGGAGGATATTTCTGGTTCAAGTATGGTTAAACAACAGCATTATTTAGTTATCTTCAAAATACAAAATAAAAAAATAGAATTTAATAGATGTAAAACAATGTTGCCACACACTCATGAACAGTAGGTGGCGGTATGCACCTTAAAGTTGCTTGCGATCCGCTATGATAGAAAAGAAGAAGAAGAAGGAATGAATGCTTTCATTGGATGAAAAGAAGCTGAGCGTGATTGGGCAATGGTATGGTTCATTTACATACATTGCTGAAGTTGCGAGCGCAGAGAGTCGAGCGAGCGGAGAAACAGCCGAGCGCACAGCTGGTGTTGAGCGCGGAGAGAGCAGGTCGAGCGCGAGCAGAGATGGAACTGAGCGCAAGAACAGTGTGTTGAGAGGGTTTTTCAGAGTTGAGCATGCGCCAGACCGGTTTTGCGCGCGCGCGTGTTGTCTCACTGCGCGCTCGGATTGGTTCCTGCGCGCTCAAACCGATGGCACAAATATCTCTCCATAAGGATCACAGAGAATTCAATATTTATAGGGAGAGGATTCTACAACCCAGCTGAAAGGATTTTATATTTAATTATTTTTAGTTTGTTTAATATGAACGACATGCAGATCATTTTATGTTTATTTTTTTATTTTTATATGAAGAATTACTTGTTAGGTTTATTATTTATACACAGAGATGGGAAGTACAAATACTTCGTTACTGTACTCAAGTAGATTTTTCTGATATTTTTACTTTACTTTAGTACTTATTTTTATGGCGACTTTTTACTTCTACTCCTTACATTTTTACACAAATATCTGTACTTTCTACTCCTTACATTTAAAAAAATTGTCTCGTTACTTTAGTTTTGAATCATTTCAATGGAGTTACCGTTATTATTTTTCACGTCATCAATACCAAATTCAATCTAATTGGATGGGAATCTACGTTGCATTTGACGCACCACTACAAGATGAATCGACAGATTCGGCGGTATTCATTGGCGGCAAATCATTGCAGCTTGGTGGCGGTGGCGTTAGCATAGCAGCATGGACGACGAGATGATTGAAAATGAACACAACGGAGATCTAGTCCTATTGGCAGACATCCATTTAAAATGTAGGCAACGGCATGAAAAAAGTGGTTTCTACTTTTACTTTTATACTTTAAGTAAATTTACAAGCCTGTACTTTGTTACTTTTACTTGAGTAAAGAAGTTTAATCAGTACTTCCACTTTTACCAGAGTATTTTTTAACACATGTACCTGTACTTTTACTCAAGTACGGAAAGTGAGTACTTTTGCCATCTCTGTTTATACATCATGTGCGTTGTTACTTTGTTAGCCGGATTAGACAGAGCAGAAGGCCTTCCTTCACATTGTGGATGTCACTGTGTGTACGGAGGTCATCTAATCAGGACAGCCTTCGTGTCTTTAGAAATACACAGGATATGGGAACATCTTGGAGCCGGTCTGATAGAGGAGAGCCATCTGTAATTCTTGGGCATAGAGGCAAGATGCATACAGGTCAGGGCATGGATGGCGTGTCAGTTTCTGATACGGACAGCTAAGCTTCCACCTGATGCAACACATAGACTCATGAGGTATAAGAAGGAGGAGATGACCTTCATCGGGGCTCAATCTTTGCCGGACGCTCGCTGACGTTTTTTTGAGCCAACAGCTGTGCAGCTCCAAGCAATTTCTCTCTCCTGTAACGACCTGATCTGGAATAAACTCTTACTTTTTTACTCCTGTTTTATAGTCCTTTTTTTATATGGTTTCACCCCGTTTGAGTTAAGAGTAGTGAATAACTTGCTCCCAGGAAAAGAACCGGTGGGGAAGTTCTGAGGCGCAGCTGCCTTCAGGGGAACATAACTTCCACATTTAACACACTGAAGTTGTTTTACAGATTCACATAAATATATGAATTCTGCGGGGGGGAAGGAATGACTTTAGGATTAATAACTTAATGAGCCTACTGGAACAATCTGAAGCCATTCTATGGGACTGATAACTGATAATTTGCTCCTCATATCCATCTGGAAACCTTCCGTTGAAGTAATTTTGGGAAGGGGCGAAAATACTGGTTAGCTGATTGGCCTATGTTGGTGATAGACGGGCCAAATAAACCAATCAGATCAACGAAGCATATGACGTACTAACAGAGCGACGACGAAGAGGAGCCAATTGATAGATCAAACTCTTGCTGAAACCAGTGGGGAGAAGAGCAAAAACATCTTTTCTTCTGAGAAAAGCCTCCAGAGCAGTGTTTTGCTCTTCTTTCAGTGAAGAAATACTCTGTAATTCCGATAAAACTTGCTCGATAGCCACGCTAACGCTAGTTTCATCGGCTGAAGCCGGCATGTTCTTTAGACTGAACTGTCGCGCTTCTCGTTGCGTCACACCTCAACCCGCCTCAAAGCCAGCGCTGATTGGACGTTCGTTTGGTGAACGGCTCCAAATTTTCTTTCACGGAGAGTCTCCAGACTGATTAGCGAGTGAAATCTTGAAAGCTCGCGAGATCAGGATGGTCTCACCAGGCTAGGTCTGACGCGGTATGCTGAGTTGACAGAACAGCGTTTTTTAGGCCAGTGAACATGGAGTATAAGTTTCCTTTCTAATGGAGGTGTGTCTCCACAGGAACACCAAGCTGTGGATCTGTATGGAGTACTGCGGGGGAGGATCCCTTCAGGACATGTACCAAGGTCCAAACTCCTTCGGTTTCTGTCCCTGACTTTAACGTCTTCTCATTTAACTAAGTCAGATTTTGCTGTGATGTTTTTCTTATTCTGTAAATAAATAAGCTTGTTTTCATTTGTTCTACTTTTTATTTAATAAAATCAATTCAGGTTGAACAATGGCAGCTAGCTAACAGCTAGCAGTGTAGTGTCGTTTTCAGCGTAACTGATGTCAAAGAAAGTTTGACTTTAGGGTGTTTGTTGGTTCTACTTGTTTGCAGTGACGGGTCCGTTAAAGGAGAAGCAGATTGCCTTCGTCTGCAGGGAGACGCTCCAGGTAAGACTTGTTTGAGGTAAAACTGTTGCAGATGAAATCTGCTGGTATCAGCGTTTCGCTTCAGTTTAAAGGCGATAGCTACAAGCTAAAAGAAAACCAAAACAGAACCGTGTTATATTGTTATATCTTTGCTAAATTATGGTGTTATAACAATCGATTGACAGCTCAGCTTTGGTCTTATGAAGAGGCGTTTTGCTAGCACCCTTCAGTTGCATTACTGCCATCTACTGGTAGGAGTGTTACACTTTTATTAGGGGATTGGAACTCGTCAGTTCATTCAGTTTATTTCTATAGTGCCAATTCACACCAAGTCATCTCAAGGTTCTTTACAACCAGATCATCCAGTCAGATTGATTCAAAGTTTTCTATCTAAGGAAAACCAGCTGATTGCATCGACTCATTGACTCTTCAGCAATCCCTCACACTAAGCATGCTTGTAGCGACAGTGGAGAGGAAAAACTCCCTTTGAACAGGAAGAAACCTCCAGCAGAACCAGGCTCAGTGTGAGCGGCCATCTGCTGAGGCCCACTGGGGTTCAAGGAGACAGAAGCAGACGTAGAAAAAGAAGCATAGATACCAAAAGGCAACTGTCAACCAGCTCCACAGGCGGCCCCGTCCAGGAAACACACAGCCAGGCAGACGAGCTCCGAGCCAGCTCCCATGTCAGAGGATGAAGAGAGCACATCCAGTTAGTCACAGTCAGAGAAACAGGACTACACTGGAAAACAGGCCAAGCTCCAACATCTAGAAACAAAGGTGTTGATGGCAGCAGCACAGCTGATATTTCTCTCCAGGATGGAGTCACAGCCAAACAGGAACAGACCAGATGAAGCTACTATGAGAAAAAGCAGAGAGAGCAGAACGTTAGAGATTGAACTAACAGATTCTGCAGAGTGGGAGAATAGAGATAGAATGAAGCAGAATGATGAAAAAGGGGTCCCTATGTCCTCCAGCAGTCTAAGCCTATAGCAGCAGAACTATAGAGATAGCTCAGGATAACCTGAGCCACTCTAACTAGAAGCTTTATCAAAAAGGAAAGTTTTAAGCCTAGCCTTAAAAGTAGACAGGGTGTCTGCCTCAAGGACTAAAACTGGTAGTTGGTTCCACAGGAGAGGAGCCTGAGAACTAAAAGATCTGCCTCCCATTCTACTTTTAGAAATTCTAGGAACCACTAGTAAACCTGCAGATTGAGAGCGAAGTGCTCTGTTAGGAACATCAGGAACAATCAGATCTCTGATATCAGATGGAGCTTGGCCATTTAAGGCTTTATATGTGAGAAGGAGGATTTTAAATTCTATTCTGGATTTAACAGGAAGCCAATGAAGAGAAGCCAGGATAGGAGAGATATGATCTCTCTTTTTCATTTTCAACTTGTAAATTTGGGATTTGTACACACAGCTGCTCAGCTCGTCAAAAGAATTTAATACCTGCTCATCACTGGGTAGGATATGCATCATGGCCACCCAAATATGGCCGCTCCTTCTTGTTCTTTAGTGAGTGCTGTGCTATTTTACAAAGGAGGAGATATTTCTTCCCAGATTCAGACTCAGATTAGCCTCCAGAGAGAAGAACAGTGAGAGGGTGAGAAATGATGTTAGTTCCTGCAAAATGAATGAGAGCTATTTATAGTACTTCCCTGATGAGTCAATCTGCCAGGAATGATAATTAATAAGAAAGAAATGGGATGGAGTCCATCTAAATGACCCTCTGCCTTCTCTTTCAGGGTCTGCATCACTTGCATGAAACGGGCAAAATGCACAGAGACATAAAGGTGGAGCTTGTCTGTTATTCCTTGGCAGAGTGATAAGTTAAGGTCTAGCTGCGCGAATCCTTTATAAAATGTAAATCTATATGTGTTTTCTAGGGAGCTAACATCCTTTTGACCGAACGAGGCGACATCAAACTGGGTGAGTGATCTATGTTACACGCTGTCATCACAACCACATTCTCATTTTGCTATAGGGGGTGAGGACTGTCTTTTTTAACCCTTTCTATGCCCTTACCCTGACAATAAATTTAACCTCTACCTTCACTTTAACCTAAGCTCTACTCGCATGTGAGGAGCAGCTAAATGTCCGCACTTCAGGGACGGCTGGCTTGCAAGCAAAGTCTTTGTTCTGTGGAAAAATCCTCTAGCGCTTTATGGAAAATTAAAATTAATACATATTAGTATTAGAGCCAGGCTACAGATTTTTTTTCTTCTATTTTGGGAATAAAGCCGTAACATTACGAGAATAAAGTCATAAAATTATGAGAATAAAGTCATAAAATTATGAGAATAAAGACATCATACATCAACCCGTTTCAGAAAGAAAGCTTGTAGCTCCGCCCAGCAGATGACGGCCGACCAGCTCCACCAATCAGCAACCAGAGTCCACTTTGACCTCCTGCCCAGTTTGATGCTGCTGCTAAAAGATTTCCTGATTTGTCAAACCGATGCTAAAGTAGAACTTCCCATGATGCTCCACATTCCTCACTTTAGGAAAGAAACGGCTTCTTGGAAGAGTTCTCATAAAATATAACTTGTTTCTCGTAATTTTACGAATTTATTCTCATAATTTTACGACTTTATTCTCATAATGTTGCGACTCTATTCTTGTAATTTTAGGACTTCATTCTCGTAATTTTAGGACTTTATTCTCGTAATGTTACGACTTCATTCTCCTAATTTTACAACTTTATTCTCGTAATTTTACTTCATTCTCGTAATTTTACAACTTTATTCTCATAATTTTACGACTTTATTCTCGTAATTTTACAACTTAATTCTCGTATTGTTATGACTTCATTGTTGTAATTTTACGACTTTAATTCTCGTAATTTTAGGACTTTATTCTCGTAATTTTACGACTTTATTCTCGTAATGTTACAACTTCATTCTCGTAATTTTACGACTTTATTCTCGTAATGTTACGACTTCATTCTCGTAATTTTACAACTTTATTCTCGTAATGTTACAACTTCATTCTCGTAATTTTACAACTTCATTCTCGTAATTTTACGACTTTATTCTCGTAATTTTAGGACTTTATTCTCGTAATGTTACGACTTCATTCTCGTAATATAAGGACTTTATTCTCGTAATTTTACAACTTCATTCTCGTAATTTTACAACTTTATTCTCATAATGTTACTTTATTCTCGTAATTTTACAACTTTATTCTAGTAATTTTACGACTTTATTCTCGTAATGTTACAACTTCATTCTCGTAATTTAAGGACTTTATTCTCGTTATTTTACAACTTCATTCTCGTAATTTTACAACTTTATTCTCATAATTTTACGACTTTATTCTCGTAATTTTACAACTTAATTCTCGTATTGTTATGACTTCATTGTTGTAATTTTACGACTTTATTCTCGTAATTTTACGACTTTATTCTCGTAATTTTACGACTTCATTCTCGTAATTTTACGACTTTATTCTCGTAATGTTACGACTTCATTCTCGTAATTTTACAACTTTATTCTCGTAATGTTACAACTTCATTCTCGTAATTTTACAACTTCATTCTCGTAATTTTACAACTTCATTCTCGTAATTTTACGACTTTATTGTCGTAATTTTAGGACTTTATCCTCGTAATGTTACGACTTCCGTCTCGTAATTTTAGGACTTTATTCTCGTAATGTTACGACTTTATTCTCGTAATTTAAGGACTTTATTCCCGTAATGTTACGACTTTATTCTCGTAATGTTACGACTTTATTCTCGTAATTTTACGACTTTATTCTCGTAATTTTACGACTTTATTCTCGTAATGTTACAACTTCATTCTCGTAATTTTACGACTTTATTCTTGTAATGTTACGACTTCATTCTCGTAATTTTACAACTTTATTCTCGTAATGTTACAACTTCATTCTCGTAATTTTACAACTTCATTCTCGTAATTTTACGACTTTATTCTCGTAATTTTAGGACTTTATTATCGTAATGTTACGACTTCATTCTCGTAATTTTAGGACTTTATTCTCGTAATGTTACGACTTTATTCTCGTAATTTTAGGACTTTATTCCCGTAATGTTACGGCTTTATTCTCGTAATGTTACGACTTCATTCTCGTAATTTTACGACTTTATTCTCGTAATTTTACGACTTTATTCTCGTAATGTTACAACTTAATTCTCGTAATTTTACGACTTTATTCTCGTAATGTTACGACTTCATTCTCGTAATTTTACAACTTAATTCTCGTATTGTAATGACTTCATTCTTGTAATTTTACGACTTTATTCTTGTAATGTTACGACTTTATTCTCGTAATGCTACGACTTTATTCTCGTAATTTTACGACTTTACTCTAGTAATTCTACTTTACTCTAGTAATTTTACGACTATTCTCGTTGCGACTTAATCTCGTAATGTTACGACTTTATTCTCGTAATTTTACAACTTTATTCTCGAAACAGAAGAAAAAAATTATCTCTAGCCTGGCCCTAATACTCCGTCGTAAAAAATTAGGAAAAAGTAGGCCTACTTAGTTTTATCACTAACTTAAAAAAAATCAGTTCTAAACTATGAATGAAAGGAATGTATTTCAGACAATTGACAAATAATAAAAAAAAAATAGATAAATCTATTTCAGAAAATATGTGAAAAATAACACACAAAAAAGCGATTGGTTACAGGTTAAACATTAAATTACATTTTCAGTTTTAGCCGCTCAGTGGAGTAATGGGTAGCACTGCTGCCTTGCAGCAAGAAGATTCTGGGTTCCAGTCCAAGCCTGCAGTCTTTCTACATCTATGGAGTTAGCATGTTCTCCCTGAGCATGCCTGGGTTCTCTCCGGGTACTCCGGCTTCCTCCCACAGTCCAAAAACATGAATGTTAAGTTAATTGGCTTCTTTAAATTCTCCTTAGGTGTGAGTGTGTGTGAATGGTTTTTTGTCTCTGTGTTGCCCTGAGATGGACTGGAGACCTGTCCAGGGTGGACCCCGCCTCTCACCCCTCGCCACCCCAGCAGGGATAAAGCGTGACAGAAAATGGATGGATGGACATTTTCTGTTTAATTTAAACATAGAAGCCAATAAAATAAACATTTTCCTCCTAACAAAGCTGTCAGTAGTGTAGCCTGAGATCTGACATTGATTATTAATTGTAAAATCTTTGTCCCAAATGGCCTTAACTTTGAGGCTGAATCAGGAAATGGTCCTTTCCCTGATGCAGAAACAGAAGCACACACACATACATGTCAGTATTAGTTTTAGCCTCACGCTTGTTCTTCTCTCCCTCTGTAGCCGACTTTGGAGTAGCAGCAGAGATCAGTGCTTCAGTGGCCAAGAGGAAGTCTTTCATTGGAACTCCCTACTGGTGAGTCGACCCAAACATTCAAAATAAACCTATATCCAAAACCAGTCAAACATATACTAAGTTATCACACCAGTATATTTATATGAATAACAGCAACAACTAACATTATAAAAACTCTTTATAAAAATAAAAAATTATTTCATGTCCAGGTTTACTTTTTGTCCATAAATCTTGCTTTTCTGAGGCTGTGAAGGTAAATCTGTGTTCTGCATGGTCCAATATTACATCACAAGCCTAAAACAATATTTTACCTGTTTAATTATGGAGGAGCTTTAACTCAGCTTTATGTTTGTTTAATATATAGAAACTTAAAATTTTCTGAGAATGTGTTTATTTAAGAGCAACTATGCAGATTAATAAACACCTAGAAAATGTAGACTATATTCTATTATTTTCTATGTGAATCCCAGATTGTTCTTTCTTTTTTGCCTTTTCTAAAAACTGCTGTCAATCAGCAGGCTCAGTGGCTGAGAGGCAGAACAGGTCAGGATCAGGAAATCAGAAACACCAAGGAACTCTAAAAGCTTTTCATGCTGTCTCTAGAGGAATGAAAGATTTTTTCCAAGCACTAAGCTCACTTAGCTGATTGCTCCTTCCTGTGTTTCCAAAAAGGCGACGGCAAAAGTAAATTGACGCGCCGCATCAACCAATGAGAGAAGCTGATCTGGGAGCTGGCAGGGAGTCAGACACAGCACTGCTGATGCAGAGTGCTATGATCACTCCTCTGAAACAGTTTATTAACGCCCAAATTAACTTCAAATGTAGAAACCTGTCGGCAGAATATGTTGGCTTTTATTATCCTGCCATTGTTCCAGGCAAAGAAAGGGTAGAGTAGCTCCGCCCAATGCACATCAGACCAACTTTTATTAATCTCCCTGTTTTTTCCACTTTCTGACATCAAACCCGGCAGATGTCCTGCTGGTGACTTCATGCTACTACAGGATGAGTGAAACATCAGACTTTATGAGCTGAAGTGGTTGATCCTTTCCCCTGTGCAGGATGGCTCCGGAGGTGGCCGCAGTGGAGAAGAAGGGCGGCTACAACCACTTGTGTGACATCTGGGCTGTTGGCATCACCGCCATCGAGTTGGCCGAGCTCCAGCCGCCCATGTTTGACCTCCACCCGATGAGGTGAGTCAGCGACAGGCGCTCTGACTCGGCAGGAAATGTCTGATCGCATTCGGTCCATATAAGGACAATTTAAAGGTGATTTTCTGCCCTCTGATGAATGTTTCAGAGCGCTGATGTTGATGTCCAAGAGCAGCTTCCAGCCTCCAAAGCTGAAGGAAAAAGCCAAGTGGTGAGTATTGAAGGGCTGCTTGAAAATCCCTCTGAGTACCGGCTGAGACTTTCCAGACATGATGGAGAACCTTTGTTTCCATGGAGATGATCTAATGAACAATGAGGAAATAAAAACTCTCTTTTTATACCCCTCTGTATTCTAGTTTCCACTTTTCTCTATGTTTTTTTATACTTTCTTATAGAAATTTTACTTTTTAATTGCTCAGACAGTATGGAGAGAAATTAGTTTCATTATTATTGAATAAAATAACATGTTTAATGATGGACTTTTTGAAAGAAATATTGAAATGAAATGAAACTTTGAAAAAACCTCTCAATCAAAAAAAGAAAATTCAATCAATATTTTTAAAGTTCGCAATATTTCGATCAGAACGATTACATTCTTTTCATCCCCTTCTTTTGAAGTTTTGTCCTCTATAATTCTAGGTGGTCTGTATGCGGACCAATAGAAATGAATCCGCTCTCCATCGATGTTAGCAACAGCATTAGCCTGCTATGCTATCACCATGCTAGCATTAGCCGGCCTAGCTATCACCATGCTAGGATTAGCCAGCTTTGCTATCACCATGCTAGCATTAGCCGGCCTAGCTATCACCATGCTAGGATTAGCCAGCTTTGCTATCTCCATGCTAGCATTAGCCTGCCTTGCTATCACCATGCTAGCATTAGTGCTCCTTGCTATTTTCATGCTCATATTATCCCATATGGCTATCACCATGCTAGGATTAGCCAGCCTTGCTATCACCATGCTAGGATTAGCCTGTCTTGCTATCACCATGCTAGCATTAGTCAGCCTTGCTATCACCATGCTAGGATTAGCCAGTTTTGCTATCACTATGCTAGCATTTACCAGCCTTGCTATCACCATGCTAGGATTAGCCTGCTTTGCTATCACCATGCTAGCATTAGCACTCCTTGCTATCTCCATGCTCATATTATCCCATATTGCTATCACCATGCTAGGATAAGCCAGCCTTGCTATCACCCTGCTAGGATTAGCCTGCTTTGCTATCACTATGCTAGCATTCGCCAGCCTTGCTATCACCATTCTAACATTAGGCAGCTTTGCTATCACCCGGCTAGCATTTGTGCACCTTGCTATCTCCAAGCTTATATTATCCCGTCTTGCTATCACCATGCTAGAATTAGCCAGCCTTGCTATCACCATGCTAGCATTAGTCTGCTTTGCAATCACCATGCTAGCATTAGCCCACCTTGCTATCACCATGCTAGCATTAGCCAGTTTTGCTATCACTATGCTAGCATTAGCCCGCCTTGCTATCACTATGCTAACATTCGCCAGCTTTGCTATCACCATGCTAGAATTAGCCAGCCTTGCTATCACCATGCTAGAATTAGCCAGCCTTGCTATTACCATGCTAGCATTAGCCCGCCTTGCTATCACCATGCTAACATTAGCCAGCTTTGCTATCACTATGCTAGCATTAGCCAGCCTTGCTATCACCATGCTAACATTAGCCAGCTTTGCTATCACTATGCTAGCATTAGCCCGCCTTGCTATCACCATCTCTCTTCCAGCCATCAGGGACTGACCAGCAGCCAGTCGCTAAGTATTTCTGCTATTGCAACCTTTTAGCTGTTTTATCAAAGATGAGGAAATGATGGGAAACCAACCATGGCTTATTGCTAGCATTGCTAATGCTACATCCACATAAAACACAAAGCAGAGAAAACGGGGGATAAATATGGGTTTCAATGAGCTCTTTTTAACTGTTTTTTCCCTAAAAATTATTAAAGATTAAGTTAAGGATAATCTCAGAAGGATTGTAGAAGTTAAATAGCAGGTTATGATCCCTTTAATATTTAAAAATAACGAATTAACCAATAAAAATTAACTGAGGAATGGAACTTAAATAGAAAAGAACTAGACTAAAGGTCACATTAATAAAAATTGAACATTTAGATTCATATCAGTAGAAGTTCAGGGAAGTGTGTCAGGAAGACTTTCTAAACATGGTGATTCCTTTAGTGCAGCAAAATCAGAAGCACGTCTGGGAAAGATTAATGAAAACCATAAAGCCATCAGCAGATTAAATCTGTAGTGTGATAGTTGTGGGATACAGATAAATTAATTTTGCTCAAGCACAGTGCTTTGGAGTCGGCGATCTATTAAACGGATATTTTTCTCTTTGCAGGTCTGCAGGTTTCCACAGCTTTGTGAAGATGGCTCTCAATAAAAACCCACGGAAGAGGCCCTCAGCTGAGACTCTTCTGCAGGTTAGATGGTCTTTTCTTTAGTCCAACTGTTTTTATTATTCTTTTTTGTTTCTGCATTTTTTATTTTATTTTATTTTTTTTCCTATCTGCTTTGATTCTGTTTTATTTTCCTATATTTTAATCATGTAAAGCACTCTGCATTGTCTTTGTACGTAATTGTGCTATACACATAAATTTGCCTTGCCTTGCCTTGCCTTTGAGACAGTCTAATGAACCAGGGTTCGTATGGCGCTAAATTAGTGCCGGAAAAACAAATCCCCAAGCATGTTTTATGAAGCTGAAAAAAAATATTTGCAAACTGAAGTATCAGTGAAAATAAAATAAAAAAATTTGAACGGAGAAGAAATGTCGAAAAGGAAAAGATGTGAAACTCTAAATGTTACTAAAATGTTTAAAACTAGTCTTCAGATTCAAGTTTCGTGTTTAGTTTCTGCTTTTTTTTCCCCATCCATTATCATTACCTGAACTTTTTGATCTTTTTTTAGTGTTAATTTATTTTCAGTTTCAAATCTCTTTTTTGTTTTCTATGCTTTTCAGATTTTAACCTTTTCTTTTTATATATTTAAGAAAATACTATTCAGTGAGTTATGTTTGTACGGAAGAGGATTAGGGCCACTGAAAAAAAAATAAAGTTAACTGATTTTTGAATTTTATTTCAGTTTAACATTGGAAAAAAGTCAGAATTCTGACTTCTTTCCTATACTAAACTGAAGTAAAATTTAAAAATCAGTTAACTTTTTTTTTTTCAGTGGCCCTAATCCTCTTCCGTATGTCTGTTTTCGGTTTAAACTGTATTTTTTTTACCTTAAAAATATTTTTTGGACAAACTTTATTCCCCCAATTTAGCTCCATAAGTTCTTTTAAAAAGATGGGGTGTAATATCCATAAGCTTAATTTGAGCTTTTTCATGTAGAAAAGATATTGTTTTTCTAGAGAGAAATAAGTTTAGATGGTATTTACTTAAATTAAAGATGCAATAAGGGCTTGCATCCCAGTTTTTTGTGTTTTTATAATAATTTATCCTGCTAGAGTTAGTTTGAGAATTGCTGTAAGAATCTAATGTTGAATATTTTTAGTAATAATCTCGTAAAAGCAGCTCTTTGAGCATCGGATACAGTCTCTCCTCACTGGAGCGATTCCAGAGAAATCAGCAAACCTTCTCGTCGTTTTTTCAGCATCCGTTTGTGACCCAGCTGCTGACCCGGAACCTGATCATCGAGCTGCTGGACCTGGCCAACAACCCAGAGCTGCACAGCTCCGTCCCACACAGCATGGATGACAGCGAGCTGGAGGTCAGTGACTCAGGCGGATGAAGGAGCAGCCAAATGCCATTAATCAGACTTCAACATCACTTCAACAGTGACTGTAATCCATCAAATATTTTAAAAATGTTTAGTCAAAGACATTATGGCGTGCACTTATCAACAGAAGTACTGTTGCACATGTTAGCAGTACAGTGAAGGACACATGGAGTCTAAAAAGCAGCATATTAGACCATTTAAATCTGCAAGTTTAAAGCAGCACTGCGTAACATTTGATTCTAAGATGTAGAAAGGATTTTTAAAGTCAATAAATAGCACATGGTGCATATGGATGCTCCATGCGGGCTGCCCTTCTCAAAAACTGTCGCTGAATGAATCATGTGACCTGGAGCTTAATATTTGTTTAAGTTTAATATTTGCAATAACTAATCTATTGCCAAAAGCTGATAGGCGGCAGAACCTCAGGGTCAATCTACGCTGCTTTAACAGGAAAATGAACGAGGACAACGTCCATATTTTCTAAATAAAAACATACTATACTTTCCTACAGCCTTTGCTATAAATAGACATCTATCTAAACACCCATGCCTTCTAAATTAAAGGTAGTAATTAAAGTAGTAGCCATAGAAAATCTCCCCACCTACCTAGAAGGGTCCTTGGCTGGTCCTTGGCTTGTCCTTGGCTGGTCCTTGGCTTGTCCTTGGCTGGTCCCTGGCTGGTCCCTGGCTAGTCCATGGCTAGTTTCTGGCTTGTCCTTGGCTGGTCCCTGGATTGTCCTTGGCTAGTCCTTGGCTGGTCCCTAACTGGTCCTTGGCTGGTCCCTGGATTGTCCTTGGCTAGTCCCTGGCTGGTCCTTGGCTGGTCCTTGGCTAGTTGGCTAGTCCCTGGCTGGTCCTTGGCTGGTCCCTGGCTGGTCCTTAGCTAGTCCTTGGCTGGTCCTTGGTTAGTCCTTGGTTAGTCCCTGGTTGGTCCTTGGCTAGTCCCTGGCTGGTCCTTGGCTTGTCCTTTGCTAGTCCCTGGTTGATCCTTGGCTAGTCCCTGGCTGGTCCTTGGCTTGTCCTTCCTGGTCCCTGGTTGGTCCTTGGCTAGTCCTTGGCTGGTCCTTGGTTAGTCCTTGGCTAGTCCCTGGTTGGTCCTTGGCTAGTCCTTGGCTGGTCCTTGGTTAGTCCTTGGCTAGTCCCTGGTTGGTCCTTGGCTAGTCCCTGGCTGGTCCTTGGCTTGTCCTTGGCTGGTCCTTGGCTTGTCCTTTGCTAGTCCCTGGTTGGTCCTTGGCTAGTCCCTGGCTGGTCCTTGGCTTGTCCTTCCTGGTCCCTGGCTTGTCCTTGGCTGGTCCTTGGCTGGTCCCTGGCTGGTCCCTGGCTGGTCCCTGGCTGGTCCTTGGCTAGTCCTTGGCTGGTCCTTGGTTAGTCCTTGGCTAGTCCCTGGCTGGTCCTTGGCTAGTCCCTGGCTGGTCCTTGGCTTGTCCTTGGCTGGTCCTTGGCTAGTCCTTGCTGGTCCCTGGCTTGTCCTTGGCTGGTCCTTGGCTGGTCCTTGGCTAGTCCTGGGCTGGTCCCTGGCTGGTTCTTGGCTAGTTGGCTAGTCCCTGGCTGGTCCTTGGCTGGTCCTTGGCTAGTTGGCTAGTCCCTGGCTGGTCCTTGGCTGGTCCTTGGCTAGTTGGCTAGTCCCTGGCTGGTCCTTGGCTGGTCCCTGGCTGGTCCTTGGCTAGTCCTTAGCTGGTCCTTGGTTAGTCCTTGGTTAGTCCCTGGTTGGTCCTTGGCTAGTCCCTGGCTTGTCCTTGGCTTGTCCTTTGCTAGTCCCTGGTTGGTCCTTGGCTAGTCCCTGGCTGGTCCTTGGCTTGTCCTTCCTGGTCCCTGGTTGGTCCTTGGCTAGTCCTTGGCTGGTCCTTGGTTAGTCCTTGGCTAGTCCCTGGTTGGTCCTTGGCTAGTCCTTGGCTGGTCCTTGGTTAGTCCTTAGCTAGTCCCTGGTTGGTCCTTGGCTAGTCCCTGGCTGGTCCTTGGCTTGTCCTTGGCTAGTCCCTGGCTGGTCCTTGGCTTGTCCTTTGCTAGTCCCTGGTTGGTCCTTGGCTAGTCCGTGGCTGGTCCTTGGCTTGTCCTTCCTGGTCCCTGGCTTGTCCTTGGCTGGTCCTTGGCTGGTCCCTGGCTGGTCCTTGGCTAGTCCTTGGCTGGTCCTTGGTTAGTCCTTGGCTAGTCCCTGGCTGGTCCTTGGCTAGTCCCTGGCTGGTCCTTGGCTTGTCCTTGGCTGGTCCTTGGCTAGTCCTTGCTGGTCCCTGGCTTGTCCTTGGCTGGTCCTTGGCTGGTCCTTGGCTAGTCCTGGGCTGGTCCCTGGCTGGTCCTTGGCTAGTTGGCTAGTCCCTGGCAGGTCCTTGGCTAGTTGGCTAGTCCCTGGCTGGTCCTTGGCTGGTCCTTGGCTAGTTGGCTAGTCCTTGGCTGGTCCTTGGCTGGTCCCTGGCTGGTCCTTGGCTAGTCCTTGGCTGGTCCTTGGCTTGTCCTTGGCTAGTCCTTGCTGGTCCCTGGCTTGTCCTTGGCTGGTCCTTGGCTGGTCCTTGGCTAGTCCTGGGCTGGTCCCTGGCTGGTCCTTGGCTAGTTGGCTAGTCCCTGGCTGGTCCTTGGCTGGTCCTTGGCTAGTTGGCTAGTCCCTGGCTGGTCCTTGGCTGGTCCTTGGCTAGTTGGCTAGTCCCTGGCTGGTCCTTGGCTGGTCCCTGGCTGGTCCTTGGCTAGTCCTTGGCTGGTCCTTGGCTTGTCCTTGGCTGGTCCTTGGCTGGTCCTTGGCTAGTCCTGGGCTGGTCCCTGGCTGGTCCTTGGCTAGTCCTTGGCTGGTCCTTGGTTAGTCCTAGGCTGGTCCCTGGCTGGTCCTTGGCTAGTCCTTGGCTTGTCCCGGGCTTGTCCCTGGCTGGTCCCTGGCTGGTCCTTGGCTTGTCCCGGGCTTGTCCCTGGCTTGTCCCTGGCTGGTCCCTGGCTGGTCCCTGGCTGGTCCTTGGCTAGTCCGTGGCTGGTCCTTGGCTTGTCCTTCCTGGTCCCTGGCTTGTCCTTGGCTGGTCCTTGGCTGGTCCCTGGCTGGTCCTTGGCTAGTCCTTGGCTGGTCCTTGGTTAGTCCTTGGCTAGTCCCTGGCTGGTCCTTGGCTAGTCCCTGGCTGGTCCTTGGCTTGTCCTTGGCTGGTCCTTGGCTAGTCCTTGCTGGTCCCTGGCTTGTCCTTGGCTGGTCCTTGGCTGGTCCTTGGCTAGTCCTGGGCTGGTCCCTGGCTGGTCCTTGGCTAGTTGGCTAGTCCCTGGCAGGTCCTTGGCTAGTTGGCTAGTCCCTGGCTGGTCCTTGGCTGGTCCTTGGCTAGTTGGCTAGTCCTTGGCTGGTCCTTGGCTGGTCCCTGGCTGGTCCTTGGCTAGTCCTTGGCTGGTCCTTGGCTTGTCCTTGGCTAGTCCTTGCTGGTCCCTGGCTTGTCCTTGGCTGGTCCTTGGCTGGTCCTTGGCTAGTCCTGGGCTGGTCCCTGGCTGGTCCTTGGCTAGTTGGCTAGTCCCTGGCTGGTCCTTGGCTGGTCCTTGGCTAGTTGGCTAGTCCCTGGCTGGTCCTTGGCTGGTCCTTGGCTAGTTGGCTAGTCCCTGGCTGGTCCTTGGCTGGTCCCTGGCTGGTCCTTGGCTAGTCCTTGGCTGGTCCTTGGCTTGTCCTTGGCTGGTCCTTGGCTGGTCCTTGGCTAGTCCTGGGCTGGTCCCTGGCTGGTCCTTGGCTAGTCCTTGGCTGGTCCTTGGTTAGTCCTAGGCTGGTCCCTGGCTGGTCCTTGGCTAGTCCTTGGCTTGTCCCGGGCTTGTCCCTGGCTGGTCCCTGGCTGGTCCTTGGCTTGTCCCGGGCTTGTCCCTGGCTTGTCCCTGGCTGGTCCCTGGCTGGTCCCTGGCTGGTCCCTGGCTGGTCCTTGGCTTGTCCTTGGCTAGTCCCTGGCTGGTCCTTGGTTAGTCCTAGGCTGGTCCCTGGCTGGTCCTTGGCTAGTCCTTGGCTTGTCCCGGGCTTGTCCCTGGCTGGTCCCTGGCTGGTCCCTGGCTGGTCCCTGGCTGGTCCTTGGCTTTTCCTTGGCTAGTCCCTGGTTGGTCCTTGGCTAGTCCCTGGCTGGTCCTTGGCTTGTCCTTGGCTAGTCCCTGGCTGGTCCTTGGCTTGTCCTTGGCTAGTCCCTGGCTGGTCCTTGGCTTGTCCTTTGCTAGTCCCTGGTTGGTCCTTGGCTAGTCCCTGGCTGGTCCTTGGCTTGTCCTTCCTGGTCCCTGGCTTGTCCTTGGCTGGTCCTTGGCTGGTCCCTGGCTGGTCCCTTGCTGGTCCTTGGCTGGTCCCTGGCTGGTCCTTGGCTAGTCCTTGGCTGGTCCTTGGTTAGTCCTTGGCTAGTCCCTGGTTGGTCCTTGGCTAGTCCCTGGCTGGTCCTTGGCTTGTCCTTGGCTGGTCCTTGGCTAGTCCTTGCTGGTCCCTGGCTTGTCCTTGGCTGGTCCTTGGCTGGTCCTTGGCTAGTCCTCGGCTGGTCCCTGGCTGGTCCTTGGCTAGTTGGCTAGTCCCTGGCTGGTCCTTGGCTAGTTGGCTAGTCCCTGGCTGGTCCTTGGCTGGTCCTTGGCTAGGTGGCTAGTCCCTGGCTGGTCCTTGGCTGGTCCCTGGCTGGTCCTTGGCTAGTCCTTGGCTGGTCCCTGGCTGGTCCTTGGCTAGTCCTTGGCTTGTCCCGGGCTTGTCCCTGGCTGGTCCCTGGCTGGTCCTTGGCTGGTCCTTGGCTGGTCCTTGGCTAGTCCTGGGCTGGTCCCAGGCTGGTCCTTGGCTAGTCCTTGGCTGGTCCTTGGTTAGTCCTTGGCTGGTCCCTGGCTGGTCCTTGGCTAGTCCTTGGCTGGTCCCTGGCTGGTCCTTGGCTAGTCCTTGGCTTGTCCCGGGCTTGTCCGTGGCTGGTCCCTGGCTGGTCCTTGGCTTGTCCCGGGCTTGTCCCTGGCTTGTCCCTGGCTGGTCCCTGGCTGGTCCCTGGCTGATCCTTGGCTGGTCCTTGGCTGGTCCCTGGCAGGTCCTTGGCTGGTCCTTGGCTTGTCCTTGGCTGGTCCTTGGCTTGTCCTTGGCTGGTCCCTGGCTGGTCCCTGGCTGGTCCCTGGCTGGTCCCTGGCTGATCCTTGGCTGGTCCTTGGCTGGTCCCTGGCAGGTCCTTGGCTGGTCCTTGGCTGGTCCTTGGCTTGTCCTTGACTGGTCCTTGGCTTGTCCCTGGCTGGTCCCTGGCTGGTCCCTGGCTGATCCTTGGCTGGTCCTTGGCTGGTCCCTGGCAGGTCCTTGGCTGGTCCTTGGCTTGTCCTTGGCTGGTCCTTGGCTTGTCCTTGGCTGGTCCTTGGCTAGTCCCTGGATGGTCCTTCGCTGGTCCTTGGCTGGTCCTTGGCTTGTCCTTGGCTGGTCCTTGGCTTGTCCTTGGCTGGTCCTTGGCTTGTCCTTGGCTGGTCCTTGGCTGGTCCTTTGCTTGTCCTTGGCTGGTCCCTTGCTGGAAAATATTAAAATAGCTATTTATCCTTGATTTCAATGAAATTATATTATACTTGGATAAATCTCTCTTTACCCCATATAACGCAAATAAAAATGCCCATAAAAGTGCGCACCTCACTATAAGCCACGCTCATTAGATTTTTTGAAAAGCGGTAAACGTATATAAATAAGCTGCACCGGGCTATAAGCCGCTGGTATCTAATGAACTGTCTCTCACCAAACCTGTAGGGGGAGCTCTTCATTTAGCTCCTGGAGTCTGGACGCAGCAGAATGCTAGCCCCCGTTAGCTTGTTAGCTCACAGCTGTAAGAGCTTCTACTGAAAGTTGGGCCTTCATCAGCTCTTTATTTCAGCTCTGCAGGAGTTGAGCTCAGTCTCTTCATTGGTTCAGCAGCTTTAATGCAGCAAATAAATGACAAAATGTGAGAATTCAGGACATTTGTTCTCCACCATACCTGCTGCTAGCATGTTGTTTTATTTTGTTTAAAAGACCCAATTGACATTTTTCCCTCCTCAAAAATAGTAAAAGTGCTAAACTATAATGTGTTAAAGCTTAATAATGTATTTCCTGAGAAAAATAACTGCCTTAAAATCCTTTCTGTTTTATCTCTCTGTTCCCGATCTGCACCGGAAATGGGATGCTACGCTACTTCGTGGTGCTAACTTTTCAGTTTTGGATTTAAACATAAATCTAGTCTTTTTGAGTTTTATGTTTTCCTTTCGTATTAACATTCTGGTATATAGTCCTCAATCTAAAGAAAGAAACAACTAAAATGGCTTAATCAGATTTAGCCGGACTGCTCTGAACATGTCCCGTGATGACGTCAGAGATGCATTTTAACGGAGAAAATGGAAAAAGCTTTAAAATTGCCTCACAAAAGTCATAAAACATTTTTTAAAGATGTGTATTATCGTTCTTTGGTGACTTATAGATAGAAATAAGTAATTTAGCACCATAATTACATTATTTACAGACTACCGGATGTATATGTGTTTGTACATGCGCAGGACGAGTCGTGCTTCCTTGACGGATCGGCTAGTGACATTGACCATTAATTGGCTAAGGGTGGCCATGACCACCTCTGGCCCCCCATCTAGCTCCGACCCTGCTAGAGCGCCGCTTTAGGCAGAGGTGTTAAGTACAAAGTCCAAATACTTTGTTACCTTACTTCAGTAAAAAATGTTTGCTATCTATACTTTACTAGAGTAATTATTTTTTAGACTACTTTTTACTTCCACTCCTCACATTTTAGAAACAGACTCGTTAGTTTTGCTTAATTTAAGCTCATTTTAATTCCGGCCTTTTGGTATTTAAACAAAAATAAAAACCATCTAAATAATTAGTTTCATCCAGACAGTTTATTTCTTTGTGGTTGGACTCGGTGCTGCCCCAACTTGTTGCTCACCACATACCAAAATAGATATTTTTTTAAAGATGATGCAAAGTTCAATGTGACGCTGTTACCATTAGTTATAAAACTAAAATGAAGTTATCATCCAGAATTGTAGAGAATAGGGTAGTGCAGTAAAGCTTCTGTCGTTAACAGTTTTTACTGCTTTACTTTTACTTTAAGCAGTTTAAAAAATGGTACTTTTACACTTTTACCGAAGTTGATACTCTAACTTCTGTAAAAGTGTTTTAATCAGTAGGATTCATACTACTGGAGTAATAAACATGAATACTTTTACACCTCTGGCTTTAGGTCAGTCTAAGCTCCACGATACCTGGAATTTACTGGTCTAGCGCCCCAAGTGGCTAAAAGTTACTTAGCACAGCTTTAAGATAAATCTCCTCCTCTGTCCTGAGGCTGGTAGTTAAAGGTAGTGTTGTATAGTAACGAAGTAAAAATACTTCACTACTGTACTTAAGTATATTTTGGAGTACTTTATACTTTCCAAGAGTATAATTTTTTTTGTTGAGAACTTTCACTTTTACTTCTCTACATTTACAAACTTAATTCCATACTTTTACTCCGATACATTTTCAATGTTTGGTTTAGTTACTAAGTAAAAAAAAAAAACGAGCGACAGAAACGCCGGTGTTTTGACCCCCCCCCCCCCCCCCCCCCCCCTACTGACTACAAAGTCGGGTCTTGCCTGGTCTTGTTCATCAACACCAGAGATGGCAAAAGTACTCACTTTCCGTACCTGAGTAAAAGTACAGATACTTGTGTTAAAAAATACTCTGGTAAAAGTGGAAGTACTGATTAAACTTCTTTACTCAAGTAAAAGTAACAAAGTACAGGCTTGTAAATGTACTTAAAGTATAAAAGTAAAAGTAGAAACCACTTTTTTCATGCCGTTGCCTACATTTTAAATGGATGTCTGCCAATAGGACTAGATCTCCGTTGTGTTCATTTTCAATCATCTCGTCGTCCATGCTACTATGCTAACGCCACCGCCACCAAGCTGCAATGATTTGCCGCCAATGAATACCGCCGAATCTGTCGATTCATCTTGTAGTGGTGCGTCAAATGCAACGTAGATTCCCATCCAATTAGATTGAATTTGGTATTGATGACGTGAAAAATAATAACGGTAACTCCATTGAAATGATTCAAAACTAAAGTAACGAGACAATTTTTTAAAATGTAAGGAGTAGAAAGTACAGATATTTGTGTAAAAATGTAAGGAGTAGAAGTAAAAAGTCGCCATAAAAATAAGTAGTAAAGTAAAGTAAAAATATCAGAAAAATCTACTGGAGTACAGTAACGAAGTATTTGTACTTTGTTACTTCCCACCAATAGAATACGCCTGTTTGGCAAAGCCAGTCTAAATGTATCCTACACTTGGTTGTTTATATTATTTTAAGTCAATTTAACCTTCAAAGTTTACCAAAATGTAAAAAAATTTCATCAAACTGCACTTTTTACTTTACTTTTTACTACATTACTTGAGTACATCTATTTTTATAGTAATTCTTATACTTAAGTACAAGCCATTTCAGATACTTTAAGACTTTTACTCCAGTAACATTTCAGTCAGTGACTTGGACTTTTACCAAAGTCATATTTTGAAGAGGTACTTATACTTTTACTTGACTCTGAGGTTTCAGTACTTTATACGACACTGGTTAAAGGTTTGCTCTCCACTGCTGCACAGATTGGGGACGAGGCTCCAGACAAGATTCAGTCAGCAGGGAAACGTTTGCCTGTGGAGAGGACCGTTTCTGAAGAACAATGTGAGTTTATCACACACACTCTTAACACGTCTCTTTATCTTTACGATGAATTTCAAACATGTTTGATTTTCTGCCAACCTTACGATTCCTGATGGGGAGGTAATCGTTAGAGGCTGATTGACCCTCGCTACACCACGCACCATCAGGCTGAAAGTCTGAACGTTGGAAAATTCTTGCACAAATGGAGAATCTGCCCGAAAAGGGCAAAAAAAAATCATACAGTGTATCTCCGGCTTTACGTGTTGGCATGGTAATAGAAAGCCAATATCGATATATTTCTGACCTATAAAAATTTATAAAGTAACCATTTAAAATATTTTTTTTTCCAGAGAAATAAAAAAAATAATTTTGTTCTGTCCCACATTAGATGTTTTGTGGACCTATTATTTTAGAAAACAGATTTTTATTTAAAAAATAATAAAGCGAGCTTAGTCTAACCTGTCTATGTCTAAGGGAACCCCCCTTTCAGAGGCATAGACAGGTATGGGGCATTGCAGGCTAACAAAGAAGCCAAACGACCCCCATTCCAAAGGGGGGGGACCCGTTCATCCGTTTCTATTTGCATGTTTTCTAAACAAAAACAAGGCTTTGTTGGGCTGCTGGATAAAACCTGGAACTAAACGCTATTTCTGACATTTGGAATTGAAAAAGCTTCCTGGATGGAAGAGAAACGTCTTCAAACTTGGAAACAACGTCCAGAGGATTGATTTTAACTTTTTTTCGAATGACTATGATCTGGATGACTGAGAATCACCAGCATTTAGGCTTAAAGTAATCTTGTAAAATATCAATTCTGATGGGAATTTATGACTTACAGCTGCCCCATTAGAGTCTGGGCAGAGGATATGTGGAGGGACCAACTGATTAGGGTGTTGGCCATGAAGCCATCTAATCTGAACACCTTGGAAGTCTTCAATTATTAAAGTCGTAGGGAAGCGGCTGCTACAACCGTTGCATTTCCGAATTCTCCCAGTGGTGCCCGACTTTACATGAGTGAATAAAGTGAATGTGATTGGTTGTTCATCAAGGGGGCGGGATTGTTGTGGTGGAAGGTTCGCAGGCAAGTTTGGTTGTGGCCGGTTTGTGGGAAGCATCTTGCTAACCAGTTAGCATCTTAGTGCTAGCAGGTTCCCAATGGGAAATTCCATTGGGACCAAGTAGCACTAAGTTGCTAACCAGTTAGCATCTTAGTGCTAGCAGGTTCCCAATGGGAAATTCCATTGGGACCAAGTAGCACTAAATTGGTGACTTAGAAACGACGCTGTCAAGGAACGCTATGGACAGAGGAAACATACAAGAGGAGGAGAGTTTAGTGTCGGAGGTCGTGGATGAGTCTCCTCCGTCATCCATTTTTTATTTAGAGGAGGAAAGCGGGGACGAAGATGTTGTGGAAGAGGACGCCAGGGCGGCAGAAGCTTGGTTTGGTGTACAAGGCTTCCAGCCGTACATGTTTGAGCCCTTGCCTCGCAACGCTGCCAGTTCTGTTAGCTCTACGCCTGCCGAAGACACAGACGTCCATCCCCGTGAACACTGGGACGCAACTCAATGGGAAAGGAAAGTATTCTGGTTTCAACCGTTGCGTATATTAGCTGCGACACATGAATCAAGATGCTATGACCGAAAACATTTGATTGACAGATGACCGTTGATATATGATTGGCCGAATTTAGGTGTTCAGGCTGACGTAGAACTAACTGGCCTGCAGAAGATAACGGAAAAACACAGATTTTAAGACAGGATTTTTTTTAAATAGAAATTTTCAAAATTTTGGAACAATATGGTCTGATAAAGAGAACATTTATACATGTTTAAGCCAGAATGATTTGAATTTTAAATATAATTTCCCTACGTCTTTAAATAACCCGAGGAAAACATACTCAGTTTGCTCTGGTTAATTAACGTAAAATCACAGATGTTATTTTTCAAAAGCTGCTCGGTTTAAATAACGTGAAAGTAGGTCTTAATCTGTCAGCGGATGAAATATTTTAGGCTAAATTAATATTTTCTGTTTGATTCCTATAGACATGTGAAGGTAGACTTGACGGTGGCGCTTTAGTGAAGAATGAGGAATTCCTCTGAATGTTGCTCTCAGATGCTAAAGAGGCGCTCCATTGTCTAGCCTGACCCCCCCAGGATCCAGAGCAGAATGAGACATATTTTAGAAGCAGCACAACGGGCTCTCAGTCCAGCCGCCGCTGCCCTGTAACCACTCTGTGTTGTGGGACGAAGGCTGCGTCAGAGGATGGCACTGAAAACATGCCTGGTGTTCAACAGACACACAATTACTTCTATATACTCCCCGAGTGACTTCACTCTGCCGGGTTCTACTGCTGTAACAGACTGACCTCGCACCTTAGCCATCGCCTCGTCATGTTTCCTCCTGGTGTTGGCCTCAGCTTCCTGTGCGTGCGTTCGCACATCAACCTCAACCACCTGTACCTCAGACTTACCAATAAGGTCTCCGCTGCAGCTACAAAGCCTGAAATAATGAAAGTCAATGAAGAACTGAGCTGGCGCAGCATGTGGTGAGGCGGTGGACAGCAGGCCTGCTCAGAATGACAATTATTATGTTGTTTAAAATGTTAAAAAATTTAACTTTCATTTTCATGTCAATTTATTAACATCAGTTCCAAGCTCCAGTCTATAAAATAGACTGAAGTCCTGCACTGTAAACCTGAATAAGGCATCAGAACAGAACATTTTCCGCTAACTAGCTACATCAAATGTTATGTCTAGCATGTAGAACCTGGTAACTTAAGCCGACACTTTATGAAGTTTTAAGGTTTTATTGAAAAGGCTGAGGATTTTGCAGAAAGGGGCAGGCAGGTCCTGAAGGCACTAAGTGAGAGTTCAGGCTGAGGCAGACCCTTTTTCCAGCTGGATCTCCGCTCTTTTTGGCCCTCATGTCCCTCCGTCGTCGGACTAAACTCGCCCCCACTTCCTCCCCGCCTCGGCCGTATCTAGACCCACAGCGTGTAGCACAGACCACGTTTCAATATTGAGCATTAATCAAAAATGTCTGCATCAAGCTCACTGCAACACACTGCTGTAAGAGTATAACCAGGAAGCGAGGTAGGAGGGCAAAATAGGTTTAGCGCCACCGCAGCACGGGAGGGAGAATTACACCCAGGAGCAAATGGATAAAAATAGACCGGAGGGAAAAAAAATGTATCGATGCATCGGATCGTCGGCTGTTGTATCGATGCGTCGATACAAAACGATTATTATTTACACCCCTAGTATTTGTCCTGCTTCACTAAGGTAGGCAGCAGCTTGACATGAAGCCATGATGGCAATTATTTTACATCCAAGTAGATTTCAAACAGATGGTATCGCTATCGGCCAATACTGCACAGCCAGGTATCGGTATCGGTATCAGGGCCAAAAATGGAATCGGCGCAACACTAATGACAATAGTTGAATAAACTTTAAGCTCTCAAAAGAGTATCGGTACTCGCCGATACCGATACCACCGTTTTAGTGGTGGATCTGGGCCCTGCCAGATACTGGTATTGGTATCAGCACTAGCAGTGCAACACTAGTTAGAATGTTGTGCTGCAACCTAAACCGCGCTAACAAGCAGAGAGATCTCCCAGCTCAAACCACGACTCGCAGCTGCAGTGATGCAGAACGTACAACAGTCTGCAGTTAGTTGTCTGCAGACTGCAAAATGTCTCAGAGCTGCTCTTTACGTCGCAGCAGACTGTCAATGGAGAAGACGAAATCTCAGACGCGTTATTTTGATTGACATGCATTTGTCTTGTTACCACATCTACTGAATAAAAACTTCTGAATCGAATTGACTCCATGTTCTCTTTTGCAGTCGACCAGATAAAGTTTGGACGGCCAGTGAGGAAAGTCACAGAGCCTTACCCTGACCTGGTAATGCCTTCTGATACTCCTGCTACGGATGACGTGTTTTTTAAAGTTCATTAATGTGACTGAAAGCCGTGTTTCTGTCAGCAGGGCTCCTATGATGACTGGAGTCTGTCTGGAGACGAAGATAATTCACAGTAAGTGTCCTTCTTCTCCTGATCTCCTGGGATGTGAGGTCAGACCAGGACTATGCAGCCTGTGACCTTAAAGCTGACGCAGAATCACTGCTTGCTCTTAAATATAAAGATAAAAATCCTGCAGATATTGATCAATTTTTAATTGAATATCTGCTCTTAACTTGTGCTGAAGAACGACCTTAAAGGTTCCACTATTTTTTATTTTTTTATTAAGGGTGCACCGATGGCTGTTTTCTTGCCGATTACCCATATTCAAAAAGCCTGACCATCTCAATTCTGACTTTGTCAAAAACTGCCCTGCTAAAACTATCCAGAAATAAAGAAAGATTTCCCTAAATTAAATGTATTTACTCTTAAATTGAGGAAGTAAATACGATGATCTGCCAATGGGATGATTATTTTTACTTTTAAAATAAGATAATTAGATGAAATACACTTGAAATAAGACAAAGCGACTGATTTTTCTTATTTTAAATTTAAACTGTCTTGTTCCATTTGCAGTGTCTTACTTACCTCCTCAATTCAATGAAAATGCATTTATTTTAAGAAAAATTGACTTATTTAGATTTCTATTTTTTGCAGTGTGATCATTTTAACACACCTGCACTCTTCAATTTAATTCAGTTTATTTTGATAGCGCTAATTCACTAGCCTAGCAAACTAGCCCCACCAAAATCATTTTTACCTGCAGTGGTCTAGCCTCGATCAATGCCCCAGGCCCTAGAACTGGCGAGCCAATCACAACGCAGAGATGTGTTTTGAATGTCTTGATACAAAGTGGGCGGGGTTTTGAGGGCGGGACAACAAGTTGCGCGATGCTGGAGAAGCACAACGAGGAAGATGGCAACAAAACAGTAGCATGATGCACTGCGGCAGCAGCAGCTTTCAATGGAGTGCTCCATTGAAAGTTAAAAGTTCTCTTTCTGTTGCTGTTTTTCAATAAAAGTACGTTTTAAGATCATTTGAGGCGAGAATATTATACTTTAAAGCGTCACTATATGGTCCATTTATCGATTTAATTCATAACTTAAAAAAAACTATTTCCAAAGTTGAGAGGGCCGCGGCAACTTGCTCAGGGGTTAACAGTAGCCAGGGCTAACGTTAGCCCGTCTGCAACAGGGTCTTATCTGCACTTCAAGTAGAAGTTTCTTAAATTAAGTGTATTTACCTTTATTATGAGGAGGTAAATAAGATGATCTACCGATGGAAGGAGGATTTTAGTTATAAAGTAATTAGAAAATATTAGAAACACTTTCCTCCTCAATGCAAGAAAAAAAAGATTAACCGTCAGACTAATATCCTCCTTATATATCTGTCATCTGCAGCCGTAGTTATAGAAGCCACTATAGAAGCTCTGCAGGTTGCAGAGGAATCCTTTGAAAAACAACAAAAAAGTGGATCTTTTTAACAAATGAAAACAAATTTTCTTGCATCGTTTTTTATTTATTAATTATTTTTTTGGTCTCTTTTAGCCACTCACAACATTTCCGTGATCTAAAAATGTTTTATTTTGCTGGACTGAGGAAAGAGCGTCTCTTCGGACGTTGAAGGTTGCAGACCACTGGCTTGGATTTTCTGAATATAGTAATAAATATATCACAGGGGAAACGATTATTCTTAATAACTTATTAGAATTAATTTTATTTCAGGTCAGTTTTATACGGCGGAGTATTTGGGCCAGGCTAGAGATTTTTACATTTTGTTTTATTTTGAGAATAAAGTTGTAACATTACGTAAATGAAGTCATCATATAACAACCCGTTTCAGAGAGAAAGCTTGGAGCTCCGCCCAGCAGATGACGGCCGACCAGCTCCACCAATCAGCATCCAGAGTCCACTTTGACATCCTGCCCAGTTTAAAGAAAAGTTTTAATCTCTGAGAGTCAAATAACGACTCATTATTGATGCGTCTTAATGGTGCATTCAGCTGTCAATTTTTAGGAAAGTAAATATTCTGGTTTTCCTTTTCAGCAATCGCTGTGAATAAATGACTGCACTGTTTAAGCTAGCTGCAATGTTCCCTGGGATCAACTCTAGTCGCTGCACTGCAAAAACGACCCAGAAATAAGTAAAAATTTCTGAAATTAAGTGCATTTACTCTTAAATTGAGGTAAGATGATCTAATCTGCCAATGGCATTAGTTTTTTTAATCTTACAGTAAGATAAATAGATAAATGCATTGTTTTTTCCTCTTTTTAAATGTAAATTGTCTTGTTCCGTTGGCAAAGTGTCTCACCTACCTCCTCAAGTCAGGAAAAAATGCACTTATTTAAATAAAAATTGACTTATTTAGATTCTTTGCAGTGAATGAATGTCGGTTCCTTCGACACAAGAGGGAACGTTTCTAAACTTTCCTTTGCCCAAAGATCCCTGGGAACATTTCCTCATTCCTAGCAAAGAATAAACCAGTGGTGTCCAAACTGCGGCCCGGGGGCCGTTTGGAGCCCTGAGCTGATTCTGTGAGGCCCTGCACAGCTAGCAGAGGCAGATGGAGGCGTTTCACTTCATTTCAGATATAGTTATTACAGACAAGTCGATGTGTTTAATTTTTTAATAATTACATTTAACATTTTATTTTAATTTCATAGTAGATGCAACCACATCTATCTGACAACTTTGATCCAAAAGTTGATGTTTGTTTGCAGAAACCTGCTTTCAGTTCACTTATTTAAATAAGCTAATCTAGTTAAGATATAAATTATTTTTTGAAGGAACACCGAATTTCTGTTTTTACTGAAAACTATTTAAAAATGCTTAATTTATGATTTACGGTAATTTAATTGATTTAAATGTAATTTTAATAATAGGACTAATTTGTTCCTTTGATCTTTGCATGCAAAGATATTTTTAGTCTTATATTTTTTGGCACTTGAAAACATTTTGACATTTTGGCCCAACGAACGAAAAGGGTTGGACGTCCCTGCTGTTGCTGCAATGCATGAAGGGATGGAGAGTTCTGCAGGATTCTGTTCCTGAATTTCAACAAATAACAAGCAAAGTGAAAAATATTATATTTGCATAAATAACACGAGGTTTTGGCTCAGAATTTGGCAAAGATATGAACTTTGCTAGAGGTTGAAAATTCTGTTCAGCTATTTACTGAACTTTATTGAATCGGATGCTGTTTATATGGTATTATCATGGTGGGGGGGCAAACAGTGCAAACCGCTGCAAAGGAGAAATGCAGAGTCATAGAAAGTAAAGAGTAGCAAAGTGTAAAGTTGCTGCCAATATATAAATGATGCTAACTCATTGAAAAAAGTATGCTAAGGAAAAACTAGCAAACTGCCGTCCCCTCTGTGTCGGGGGGGCGGAGCTTAGAGGACGTGGTGAGGAACAATGAATCACGGTTTATATGACAGGACAAAAATGTTCCCAGATGTTACATTCAGGAGCTGTGGGAATTAGAACCGTCATCATTGATACTCGAAGTTTAAATGATGGAGTTAAAAAAAAAACAAAAACAAAAAAAAAACCTTGACACAACTTTTTTTTTTTTTTTTCCCCAATTTTGTTTTTCCGGCTAAAATCTTTGCAGTTTCAAAAATACTTTTCAGATTCAAATCTTTTTTTTTTTTTTTACTTTTTTTTTCCATTTTTCCAATTTTTTTTCAGTTGTAATTTGCTTTTGTTTTTTTAATTTTCCAACCAAATTGTTTTTGAACAAACTTTCTGGCCCAAACTGAGCTCCATACAGATGGTCATTGGAAGCTGGGGTTCAGACTTTGACTTGGACTCCTGCTCTGAGACTCAAGTCTTAGTAAATTTGCATGTCATGTAATGAAGAAAGGATGCGTTTGATGTTAGGCCCGTGATGTCACTGGATTATGGGATGCCAAAGAACGTCAGTTTAAATGAACAAACAGCTTCCCGTACATTAGTCAGATGTTTCTCCTTTGTGAGAAAAGATTGTTCAGAAGCAGAAGACTGATAAATCCGGTTGGTTTGTGGGTTAAAGGGTTCAATTCCAGAACATCTTTTTGTCTTTTCTTTATGTGAGTATGCTCTCTGCTTCATGGACATTTTCCCTGGATTTCATGCCTGTCATGAACAGCGAGGATCCCACAGCTCTCGGCCAGTCCCAGACTCATTCTGGTTTCCAGCTCAGCTGTGCAAAATATCCACATAACATTAGAATGATCAGGTTGGAGCAGAAGCTGCAGCGTTTGGGCCGCCCTGCCAACCACAGTCCCGCTCAGCCTCTTCTTCACTTCGTCTAAAAACCATAGAGAACCAGCCAAGGTTTAGAAATGATAACAAATGCTGCAGCTTTTCATCCTTTCATTAAATAAATGCTCTAGATTAGTGCAAGAGAACCAGCCTAACTGCTTCCAGGAATGTTCTTTGGACTGCTTGTAGTTTCAGGCCGATCACCGATCTTTAGAAAACCCTTCTGTTCTCAGTCCAACTAAATGACTCTTATTTAGAGCAGAAAACATTGTGTTTGATAAATATCTTCTTTTTCTTTTGGTTTGACAGAATACCAGTTTCATTTTTCTTTAGCATTAATAAAAACATTTTACTTTAAGATATTTTAAAGATTTTAATGACATTTCCTTTTAAGGGAAAACGGCTTAACAAATATTATTTCCAACCTAATGACAAGAGGAATTAGATAAAAGTGGTTGGCAGCGACTGATCGGCCAATATTTCCCTCGTTTTTGGAGATCGGTGATCAGTCAATACTTAAATCTGCTTCTTTGAAGGTCTAAAATCAGCATTTATCAATCCTTTTAATTTAACATTTATATTTCAGAGCGTTTTCTTATGCAGTAAAAAAAAAGTTGATATTTAACATGAGTAATGTTCAATTTATTCTTAATAAAATAAGACAGAAATATTAAAATATATAATGTCATGTTATAACAACTGTTATTTTTTTTTTTTTTATCCGCGTCGGTCAAAATCAGAATCTGCACGCCGGCCCTTTAAATATCAGTAGTAGGTGATCGGCCAGAAATTATTATTAATTTTTTTTTTTTTTTATGAAACAAGATTTTACAAAAAACTGTTAAGAAAAAAAATTTTAACAGTTGAAAAAATGAATCGGCTTGAAATTTTCTTTTAAAAATTGGTGATCGTCCAAAGAACCTACAATCGGTGCTAAAAAAACATTACTGGTCCCTTTAGGGTCTTTCTGTTCCACAAATTCAGAGCAGATATTCAAAAAAACATGGAAAACTTATTTTGTAATAAAGTATTTATTCTCTCCAAATTAAAAAAATTCTAACTGGTTCTCTATCCTTTTAGCAAAAGTTGGTCCAGGGTGGAAGGTCCAAACACCACCTTTTCCAAAACTTAAAAAATACTTAAAATATACACCTTTGCAGTCCCTAATAACACTAAGATTGTCATGATTTTATCAACAGCCTGGACCCACATGCAGAGAAACCAATTCAGGGAGTCCAGGAGAAAAGGTTTAACAGGTTTATTGAAGAGATAATGCAGAATGAAGTGTTGGAGGGCGGAACAGGGTTTATCCAGAATGCGATTGTTTGTAGGTGAACGGAAAAGCTGACTGCCACTCAGATTTCCTGCGGTACTTGAACGGGTCGTAGTGGAGATGAATCCCTTGCTCAGTGTGAAGCTCAAACATCTCTTGGGGAAGAGTAGATTCAAACCTCCAGTTTAAATCCTTAGCTCAGTTTGAAGCTAAGATCATCCTCCCAGGGAGAGAAGGTCCGAAACATCCAGTTTGCAGGATGACTTCCTAAAACTGGCAAACACTCTGGCGTCGAGGTAGTGGCAGTCAGCAGCTTAAGAGCGCTCCGTTAGCGAGGTAACCCTCTGCAGGTGTGTGAGCAGGCGGACCAGAACCAGGCGCCACCTGGTGGAGGAAGGGAGACAAACACCGAAACACAAACACGAAGACAGGAATCCTGACAAAGATAACTCCCACCTAACAGGATCAAACTTCCTGCTGATCCACAGTATGGAGCTAAAGTTTGCTTTAAAAACATTATTTTTGGAACTAAATTTGTAGTGAAAATAATAAAAAAAAAAATAATAATTAGAAAGTAAAAAGAAAATATTTAAAATTGAAAAATCTTTTTTAAACTAACCGGAAAAAAAATAGCTTAAAGTTAGAAATGAAACATAACAAATATGAAAACCAAAAATGTAAAGCCTATTTTTTTATTTGAAAAGATTTATTAGCTAAAAAATCTTGAATTCGAAAATTATGAAAGTGAAGCAAAATGTTTGATCTAAAACTAAAAAAAAGTAATATTTAAGACTATTTTTAAACTAAAAATATCAAACGTTTATGTAAATAATGTAAATAGAAATCTGAAATAAAAAGATAATTTGAGGCTGAAAAAATGTGAAAAAGTAAAACAAAATGCGAACATTTGAAAGTGAGCCAGAGGAATTTCCTAAACGTCCTCACAGTATTTCAGCGTACCTGAGTAAAGTTGCCCCCCCACCTTCTTCAAATCAGACAAAATTAGTGTCAAACCTTTGTGCAACGTTTGTGCAGCAAAAATTGTTGTTTGTGCTTCTTTGGCTTTGAAGATATTAATGAAAATGTAAAGGTCAAAAGGTCAACCAGCCCCGTTTGTGCAGCAAAACATTACGTCTGTGCCAGTATCATTTTAAAGATATAAAGAAATGTTTCTAGAGGTCATCAAAGGTCAACCAGCCCCCCCACTTTCTTAAAATTCAACAAAATTGGTGTAAAACGTTGGTGCTACATTTGTGCAGCAAAAAAAATTGTTTGTGCTGCTTTCATTTTAAAGATATAAAGAAATGTTTCTAATATTAGCATATTATGATAAGCCCCGCCCCCCCACCTTCTTCAAGCGAGGCAAAAAGGGTGTCAATTAACTCGGCTCAGTTTGTGCAGAAAAATTTTTCGTTTGTGCCGCTAATATTTTTTTACAATTTAAAATTATATAATCAAATTAGCTTATAATTTATGTGAAATTCAGAGTTTCAGAAAGAAGAAATGTTCACTGACCTTCAATGGATTCTACACACAATTATTATTATCATTAAAATGATAGCAGAACAAAAAAAATTATATATTTTAAAATATGCATTTTTTAAATTTTAATATATTTATTTTAAATATTTTATATTTAAAATTTATTTTAAAATTTTATTGGTTTTATTTTTAACCCGCTATCATTTTAGTGATATTAATAATATTTTGTAGAGGTCATCAAAGGTCAGTTAACGTCTGTTTTTGCTGCGCAAACGGAGCACAAACAATTTTGTCTAATTTCAAGAAAGTGGGGGGGCTGGTTGACCTTTGATGACCTCTAGAAACATCTCTTTATATCTTTAAACTGAAAGCGGCACAAACGAAAATTCTTGCTGCACAAACGTTTGAGGCTAATTTAGTCTGATTTGAAGAAGGTGTGTGTGGGGGGGGGGGTGATCAGAATTGCTGGCGATTAAAATGGCCGCCTCAGGCCTGTGGTCAGATAAACACCGGGGGTCTTCCTGTTGCAGGAGCCTGTTGGAATGTGTGGAAGAAGCCCTGCAGATGAGGTAGGCCCCGCCCACCCGCTCCAGCCTCTCCTAACAGCTGTTTTTGCTTCCCTCCTGTGATAAACGCCTCCAGCTGGTATTATTGTGATGCGTTCGTCAGCTAATGTGGTGGATTTATGTCTGATTGCTGTCAATGTTGCCCTGAAGCCACAGGAACCGGAGCGGATTGGCTCCGACTGCTCAGCTTTGTCTGCTTGTCTGTGGCGTTTCCGTCAGTTTGGTTGGTGCGCTGCTGTAATCCTTCCCCCAGTCATCCAGCTTGGTGTCGTGACGCTCGTTCTGATTGGACGGTTGGACTAGGCATGGGCCGCTTGCTCGTATAATTGCTTTATTTCAAAGAGTGGCCATTTCAAAACCAGTCCTTCCAATGAGATCAACTTCAGATTAACTGGATTTTTATAGATCCTAGTGTAGCTATCGTCCACCCAGAGCAGCACACTGCCGCTCAGCTGGCTTAAATGATTTTCCAGCTGTTTAGAACCATTTCAGGCAGCCTAATTCCTTTATTCCTCAATGAGAGTCAGCTTCTCATGCGGCCCATGCCTAGAAGCGACCATCAGATTCCCGAACTGATTTTGTTCTTGTGCTGGTCTGTTCCAGGAGCCTAACGATAGCGAGGGCGCCATCTGCTGATGTGAGTATGAACCTGCTTGTTGCTCTTTATTTCTATGAGATCTGATGTGCTGACTTATGGAGCTAAATTGGGACCATAAAATTAGTTTTAAAAGATTTTATGGAATTGCAAAAAAAAACAAATAACAGAAAAAAATTAGAAATTAAAGGAAAAGATTTACCGTATTTTCCGAAATATAAGCCGCTACTTTTTTTCTCTCGCTTTAAACTATGCGGCTATTAAGAAGGTGCGTTTTTTTCTTTGCATTTCTTAACCGCCAGAGCGGGAAGTCGGAAAGTTGGAAATGAAAGAACAAGAGGCTAATTTTAATTTAGCCAAAGAATATGCTAGCACCAGGAGAACAAATGTCCCAAAATTCGCATTTTTTTAATTGTATTCGCCACATTAAAGCAGGGCATACACTGTACGAGTTTTTGTCCTTTTTAGGCCGATTTTCCAGTTGAGTGAGAATTTTTGGATTTTCACCCTGATCGTGCGTCGTATAGAGTACAGCCTCTCACGACTACCTCCCGATCAGGATATCATAATATCGGGAGAAAATCAAACATGTTTGAAATTCAGTTGGCCGTCTTAAGATCGCATCAGAGCGTCGGGCCGCACAGCGTGAGAACATGCATCGTGAGCTGTGAACTTCGTCGTACAGTTTGGACTGTAGCTGCGTGTAACAACTGAAAATATCGCGCAGTAAATGCGATATACGCGATATATGCGGCTTTAAGCTGCCGAACCAATGAAGAGACTGGGATACACTGAGAGCTGATGAATCCACATCTTTCAGTAGAAGCTCTTACTCCTGCGAGCTAACATGCTAATGGGAGCTAACATTCTTCTTCATCCCTACTCCAGGGGCTTTATGTAGAGCTCCCCCTACAGGTTTGGTGGGAGACAGTTCATTAGACACCAGCGGCTTATTTATGTACATTTCCAGGTTTTTAAAAAAATGTTGTGGGAGGGGTTATAGTGAGGTGCCTCTATAGTCCAGAAAATACGGTAAATGTGAAAAATGTTTTTTAACTAAAAACTAATTGGACCTATAAATTTAAAAATGAAACTTGGAAAAAAGGTTTCAAACATTCACACATTTCTAATCTTTTTATTTCATTTTTTTAGTTTGAAAGATACTTTTCTATTTCAATTATTTGTTGTGTTTTTTTGCCTCCAAATATTTTTAAAAAGGACTCTGCTCTGCTGGGTTTTAGGAACGGCATTACAGACTGCTGGAATCTGTAAAATGGGATTGGATTTGAAGTTCATAAATCTCAATTTCCCCTCCAAAATATAAAAGATAGGATCTAGAAAAATTTATTAAAAAAACCCTTAAAGTAAAAAAATGTACGTTTGTTTATGTAAACACGTGCATTTCTTTTCCTCTGTAAAAACAGCAACCAGTGAAAATCTTGGTTAAATTTTTAACGTACATTCAAATTATTCTCAAAGTTCTTTTTTTTTTTAAACAGATTTTCTTCAAAAATTTACTTCCTTTCAATAATTTTGGAAGAAATGTCACTTCATTTTGCATAAAAATGATGTTCATTATTATTTATACTGGTAAAAATGTTGAAATGAATAACTTTTTTTTATAGTTTGACAAACATGTTTCTCAGAACTAGTAGTTATTTAAATGATTTAAAGCCGTCCGGCCTGAGTTCTGAGTCAGATCTGTTCAGTGGAGGAAGATTAACATTAGGGTGATGGCACAGAGGCCAAAAAGCTGCTTAGTAATAATAAGGAATGTTGCTATGATGCCAATCACTGCTGATTAAAGAGGTTGTGAATAATTTCCAACATTCGTTTTTTTATTAAATACAAATAAAACCGGAGTCTCTTTATACTTTTGGGAGATGCTGATTCTGTTCCATTGAGAAATGTGCAGTAATGCGGCCAAAGCTGCAGGAACAAAGATCATTTACCGTAATGGAGGTAATATCTAATCAGAAGCACAGTACTAGGCAGTTACCTAGGGCCCCAAGTTTCCCCATAAAACTCTGTTTCCATGTATGGTTAATACCCCCCCCCCCCCCCCCCCCCACCCCCCCCCCCCTGATAATATTAAGTGTGTCTCAGCCCCCCCCTTCAGTGTCCACCATATTGGATCAGTCCATTTGCTGCACATGTTCAGAAAGGTCCAAACAGACAGCAGCAAACCATTTGAAAACAAACCATGCAAAGAGCAGTGTTGCCAACTTAGCGCTTTAGTCGCTATATTTAGCCACTTTTCAGACCCCTCTAGCACTTTGATTTCTAAAAAGCTCCTAGCGCCAAATCTAGAGACTTTTTTCTGCTACTGGAGACTTTGGAGACAACATCTAAAAGCAGCGAACTCTGCTCTCCAGAGCGAGTAGATTGGTAACCCCGCCTCCTGCTCTCCTCTATCTTGTCTGCTGTCATGATTCATGCAGCTATTAGTTCATCCAAATGAAAAATGGAGAACAGAGAAGCAGATCATGGCTTGTCTACAGTGAAAAGAAGGACTGGGTTATTTACTTTGGCCTTTTTGGAAACACAGAAAGGAGCAATCAGCTAAGTGAGCTTAGTGCTTGGAAAAAATCTTTCATTCCTTTAGAGACAGCATGAAAAGTCAGCTGAGTACAAAACATAGAGAGGAAAACAAGAAGAAAGGGGACAAGAAGAGAGGGACACAAACAGAAGGAAACACTGAGATGATTTTCCCAAAGCGGTGAGACACGATGCTGACCAATCACATGTTTTACAGGGAGGTAGGAAGATTGGTTTGTTCAGTCCTACAGCTTCGCTGCCAGCCTTCAGCTCTTTAACTTCCAACGCAGAAGACAGAGACCTGACGCCCAGACCCACCTGCACACTTGGCCCCGACGCCGCCGCCGACTCGGTCTCCACAGCAGGTACACCTCAGCGCAGCCGTCAAACTAGAGCCTGCTTCACATTCAATAAATTTGCTCCTTACAGGCAGAACTTTCCAGAAAAGACCAGATTTAGTGCTAGAATGCTGTTGTTTTTTTTTGGTATGATTAGGAAAGTGTCTGTACGGCTGGTGTATGGAGTGAATTTTGTGCCATTATAGTAGCGAAAAAAAGAAGTTAATCGTAATTTTGCCAAATGTATCGTATTTGATACATACGGTTTCTGAAATGTTTTGCGTCTGACACCTTTTGCATAATTTAATGGTAAAAACTTTGCTCAAAATCCTATTGTACACAATCAGATATACCTGATAACAGCCAGTAGAAGACTACACAAAAAATAATCTTGACTTATTGCATAGTAATAAATTATTAATATCAAAAATGTATTTCTGTTTTTTCTTTTTACATATTTTGTTAAAAGGCCAAATAAGGACTTCAAACCAAAAAAAATGAATTTTCTGTTTTGTTTTATTCTTGGATCGGGCTTTAAAGGGTTAAAAAAAATGCTGTCCAAAAATGAAACTTTTACAACCTCTTAATCAAAATGAAGTTTTAAGTGTTACTTAGCTTTTTTTTTTTAGGTTTTAGTTTTCAAATTTTTATTATTCAATCTTTTTTTGGTTTTTTTTACAGAATTTATATTTGTAATTTTTTTTCAAAGTTACTCTTAAAAATTGAGCTTCATGAACTGCGTTCTTTTTAAGTTGTTTCTTATATCACATTCTCTTCTATTCAAACCCAATAAAAACGTTTTCTCTTGACCAATAGAAATGTTGCTTACGCTCAGCAGACCAATAGAAATGTTTTTTTGCTCCTTAAACCAGAGAAAAGCTCCCTCTCAGAAGCAGAGAAACCAGAACGTTAGAGATTGAATGAACAAATACAGCAGAATGGGAGAAAAGAGATAGAATGATGAAAAAGGGGTCCCTATGTCCTCCAGCAGTCTAAGCCTATAGCAGCAGAACTACAGAGACTTTCCACTGATGATAGTTTATGGAATTCATCTGTAGCAAAAAATGGCAAATTCTAATAAATTGTTTACAAATTACAAACATCAGTTGGATTGAAGAGAAATTGGGACTCTTAGCAAAAACTTTAACGATAAACCATAATAACTTAACATTCCTGTTCCAACAACAGGTTTTACTTTAACCCTTTATAGGGTGCTCAGGGAAATACTTTGAAAATCAACGCTTCAAGCCAATAGTGTTATAGAATCCAGGATTAGACCTCTGTAACATTAAATAAATATGGATATTTTGATGGATTAAAATTTATATCAATTTAATAAGAAGAAATGCCAACTTGCCCGAATATATTAAGAAAAATAACAAAAATGCTTCTAGAAGAAATTCATGAAAAACACTCTGAGAGCGAAAGAAACACATATTTTAGTCCAAAATACCCTTAGAGGCATTAATGCTAATACTGGCACTTACATTTTTTAGTTTATAAACCTAAATAGAATTGTTAACTAGGCTTATTATCTTTTTAATTCTATTCAGTTTATTTCTATAGCTCCAATTCACATCATGTCATCTCAGGTCACTTTCCAGTTCAACCAGATCATCCGGTCAGATTGATTAAAAGTTTTCTATCTAAGGAAAACCAGCTGATTGCATCGACTCATTGACTCTTCAGCAATCCCTCACACTACACAACAAAAAATTCCTTCTAAAAAATAAGAAGAAAAAAATAGTGTTTTAAGTGAATAAGTGCTTATTTTGCGCAAAATAATCTGACAGTACAGCAAGCAAATGAGGCTTGGTAAGATTTCTTAAAACAAGAACATAATATCCAAGTAGTAAGCATCCCAAAAAACTTCAATCAAGTATAAAAATCTACTTTTTCTTTTACTTGTTAAGATTTTTTTCTCTTATTTTAAGCAATTTATTCTCATTTATTAATCAATTATTGCTTAGAATTAAATGTCCTCTAACCAATTATTGCTCAAAACAAGCATAGAACAGGCTTAAAAACAAGGCAAATGTACTTGATACCAGTTCATTTAAAGGCCTAAAACTGTTTTTCTGAGCTAGAATTCATTTCATTATTTAGGTGTAGTGAATGTATGGGAAAAATACACTTGACAAAAACATCAAAACTTTTTTTTAATTAATATTTTAGCAGAAATGTCACAGAATTAAGCGAAATACACCCCACACACACACACCCCCTCCAAAAAAAACCCCACAAAGCTGAGGGCTGCACAGCTTTGAAGAGATGAAGTGATTGTGATGTAGCAGTATCGCTACGCTCTACCCCTTCTATTCATTCTAGCTAATCTGAATCGTTCATCTGGAGAGCGAGATCATCTGTGGTAGCAGCTCTAGACATCTTCCAGGCATGAGAGGAAAACTAGCAGCAGTTCAGCGGACAGGATGAATGAACGGTAGCCGGCGAGCGCGGGTGATGTCATACACGCTCCGCTTCGTTTTCAAAAGATAAAAATATAAATAATCTAACGGTGGACGTCTGGGGGACAGTGATTGGCCTCCATGTTCTGAATGCTGGCGTACCATTAAGAATAAATGATGAACAGTTTAGTTTGTGCCTTCAAGGCGTCGCTCATAGGAAGACGTTACTTGGATGCAGAGGTGTCAAGTAACAAAGTACAAATACTTCATTACTGTAGTTAAGTACACTTTTTAGGTATCTATACTTTACTCCATTACTTATTTTTCCTCCTAATTCTGACTTCTACTCATTACATTTTCACACCAGTATCTGTTCTTTCTATTCCTTACATTTTTAAAACAATCATTCCTCGTTACTCTTGGCTTCGGTTTGATGTTTCTACATTTTTATTTCCCGTCATGTGCTCCATCCAATGCAGATCATTGGCTCCATCCACATCCAATGAAAACTAGTGTGATTGGATGAGTCATAGAACGCAAACACTCATTGGTTAGCTAAAGGAAATCATCAGAAGCCAGCAGGTGTTCTTCAAACTGCTAACGTGAATTGTCTATGCCATGCTACAATGTGGGATTCAGAAAAAGATGCTGAAATGTCTGAAAGGTCGGACACAGGCGAGAGCGTATCGGGAGACGGAGACCAACCAGACCTCCCTCATCCTTGGCCCTATCTCAGAGAATTTATAGAAATAGTCGAAAAATTGAGCTTTAAGTTCATATAGCGGCATCTGGCTGTTTTTTTTAAAGGTTACTTTATACTTTAAGTAGTTTTTGGAGCACATACTTTTTCACTTTTACTTGAGTAAAGAGGTCAAGTTGATACTTCTACTTTTACCAGAGTGTTTTTAAACTGCAGTATCTATACTTCTACTGAAGTAACAAATGTGTGAGCTTTTGACACCACTGCTTGGATATAACCTAACGGAATATCTTCAGAACGGCTCCAAATGACACTAAACTCATATGGGTGAGTAGAACATGATGGAATAACGGAAAATCAAGGGACCAATGGAAAAAAAACGGCGTTCCCCTTTAAAGCAGAGCTTCTATTATAATAAGCATATGTATGATGTACAGTAGTTATGATGTATTGTAAACAGTGAATGGTCCACTGCTAAGGTTCAGAATCTCGAAGCTAAACCATGAATGACAATCTAAATAACCCTATCAATGTGAATGCAATCAGATTTGATTAGCTGGAATATCTTAAAGAGACGGGGTCAGTTCTTAAAACAGGTTAATATGGATCGTCTTATTGTCTTGAAACAAGTAAAAATGCGACTCACAGTCTAAATGTTAACGCGTACTCCATTTGTAAGGGGGATGCAAGGGTTAAAGCCCTGAGGGCTAGACTTTAACACGTCCTTTGTTTATGGTCAGGAAACATGCAAGCTCTCTGTTGGATCCCGGAATCTAAAACGCCTCGATGTGATCAAGAGCATCACAGCATCATCTGTATAGATATATTCAACTTTAGTTTGAATTAGAATTAAACCCAACGGGTGAAAGAAGATTAGACGAAATGTCTAAATTGTTTGTCTAAGCAGGGAAACACTGCTGAGACAGTTGGCTTTTCTCTTTCCTGGGTGGATCTGCGGTTCTTTACACATCCTGACAGACCCCCCCCCCTGTTTTCTCCCTCCCCCCTCCAGGCCTCTCCAGGTGTTCTGCCACGCAGGACATCAGTCAGCGCTGCAGTGACCCGAGGTTCCCCTCACAGCACCCCGTACCTGCAGAGCGAAGGCCCGCCTCCTCCGTTTCCTCCCCCAAAAGAGAGACCCCACTGTCCCCTGAGTGGAGCACGCTGCGGAAAAAGACGGAGGACTCGGTGAGTTTAATAAAACCAGAATCAGCAGAACGTCGCTGTGATTTTCTAACCTAATAACGTTCTAATGAAACAGAAACGGTTTTCCTTTGGTTGGTCTTTATTACTCCATTTGTTCTGTTGTTTGTAACCTTTGTAATTCTAGAGAGCTGATTGTCATGGGCTTCCTCCCACCCCTCAAGTCCATGTAAGTGTGATTTCTAACCGCATGCAACCTGCAATAAAACACAACTGACAGCTATAGGAGCGTCTAGAGTTCCTAATGTTTGCTAATCATCAGAACCTGATTCTATGCTACGACCCTCCCTCATGATCCAAACGGGCTGATGTAGATTATTCTTTATTCTAATGAGGAGAGTGTTGCTGAAAAGCTGCAGCGATGGACATGTGGAGCTTTAACCAAAAGAAAAAGCATAGCATGATTTTAACGACTGCTCCACAACTTAAGGGCTTTAAAATCTCTCTGCTGTTCAACCAGATGGGAGCCTGCTTCACCAAAGTCTTCAACGGATGTCCTCTGAAAATCCACTGCGCTGCTACCTGGATTTTACCCAAAACTAAAGGTGAGAACTTCAGCTTATAGCTCAGTTTATTTATTTAAGTGGTGCAATCGCCCTGCAAATACATGAAGTACTGCAAACATAAAAAGTTAGACTAACACATGAAACGCATGCAAAGAAAGAAAAAACAAAAAAACACTGCAAAAGAAAAATCTGCAATCACAGAAAACAAAGCAGCAGAGTGCAAACGAGCTGCAAACACATAAATGTTTTCGAACAAAAAAACATATTTGGAAACAGAAACTTAAAGAAAGTGAAATTCTATTCAGTTTATTTCTGATGCTGATACTGGCACTGACATTTTTTGATTTATAAACCTAAATATAATTGTTAACTAGGCTTGTTATCTTTTTAACTTTTTGAATGAATTCTGTTCAGTTTATTTCTATAGCTCCAATTCACATCATGTCATCTCAGGTCACTTTCCAGTTCACCAGATCATCCAGTCAGATTGATTCAAAGTTTTCTATCTAAGGAAAACCAGCTGATTGCATCGACTCATTGACTCTTCAGCAATCCCTCACACTAAGCATGCTTGTAGCGACAGTGGAGAGGAAAAACTCCCTTTGAACAGGAGGAAACCTGTCATGGTTTTATCAAGAGCTCAGACCCACATGCAGAGAAACCAATACAGAGAGACCAGGGGAAAAGATTTACAGGTTTATTTAGGAGATTCTGAAGAATCCAGTGTTGCTCAACCGGAACTGGAAAGTGAGGGGAAGACACTGCGGTTAGTTCAGGCTCAGTGGGAAATTTGATTCTCGAACTTCAAGAGGAGAAATAGATTGCAGACTCACGTTTCCAGAAATGTGACTGACTCTTTGACTCCAGTCGGTGTGGGGGTGTTCCAGTGTTTGTCTCATTAGGTGGAGGGCGGACAGGGTTTACCCAGAATGCGGTTGTTTGTAGGTGAACGGAGAAGCTGACTGCCACTCAGATTTCCTGCGGTACTTGAACGGGTTGTTGTGGAGATGAATCCCCTGCTCAGTGTGAAGCTCAAACGATCCCTTGGAGGAAAGTAGATCCAAACCTCCAGTTTGAATCCCCTGGTGCTCAGAGAATCCTTCCAGGGGGAGAAGGTCCAAAACATCCAGTTTGCAGGATGACTTCCTGCCGAGAGGCAAAGACAAAACAACAAGGTTAAGACTCAGGTTGACAAAAACTCAGTTTAACTCAGCAAAACACAGCTTGGCTAGAGTACCCAAAACCTGCAAACACTCTGGCGTCCAGGTAGCGGCAGTCAGCAGCTTAAGAACGCTCCGTTAACGAAGGTAACCCTCCGCAGGTGTGTGAGGAGGAGAATCAGAACCAGGCGCCTCCTGGTGGAGGAAGGAAGACAAACACACAAAACACAAACCACACAGACAGGAGTCCTAACACAACAGAATCAGGCTCAGTGTGAGCGGCCATCTGCTGAGGATGACTTGGGTTCAAGGAGGCAGAAGAATTAGATTTTTACCTTTTTTTTCCTAACTTTTTTGTAAACCCTAACTTGATTTATAAAGGGTTAAAGCCCTGAGGACTTATTTTACAATCAGGAAACATGCAAGCTCTCTGTTGGATCCAGGAATCTGGAAAACAGGCCAAGCTCCAACATCTAGAAACAAAGGTGTTGATGGCAGCAGCACAGCGGATATTTCTCTCCAGGATGGAGTCACAGCCAAACAGGAACAGACCAGATGAAGCTACTATGAGAAAAAGCAGAGAGAGCAGAACGTTAGAGATTGAACTAACAGATTCTGCAGAGTGGGAGAACAGAGATAGAATGAAGCAGAATGATGAAAAAGGGGTCCCTATGTCCTCCAGCAGTCTAAGCCTATAGCAGCAGAACTATAGAGATAGATCAGGATAACCTGAGCCACTCTAACTAGAAGCTTTATCAAAAAGGAAAGTTTTAAGCCTAGCCTTAAAAGTAGACCGTTAATCCAGAAATAAAACATTTTTAGATTTTAAAAGTCATATATTTTTTATATTACTCTTTTTTTTTTTTAGATTAATTTTAATGAATTGCATTGTTTTCATTTAAAGCCCAATACAAACACTCACTCTGGACAAATTAATAAATGTTGCTAACATCCAGCAGACAAACAGGAATCTGTCTTGTTTTGGGGGAAAGTTTGCCTTCAGACGTGAAGAGAATACGATCTGAAAATTTTGAATGGAATCCAAATAATAAAACTCATTTTTTAAAAAGAAATATTTGAAAGAGTAATCTGTGAAATTGGAAAAAAAAGATTTTTTTAAAATAAAATCTAATAAAATTACTATTATTTTTGTATTTATTTTGGCATTTTTAATGCACACGACTCTTGTACGAAGGCTTTAGTCCTTGACGCGGCCGACCCGGGTTCGAACCCGGCCTGTGGTCCGTTACCGCATCTCTCTCATCCTCCCTCTGGGGGAGGGGCCGTCTAGTGGTTAGGGCATAGAGCTTGGAATCCTGAGGTTCTGCGTCCGAGCCCCACTCCCACAGACTGCCACTCTGTGTCCCTGAGCAAGACCATTATCCCCACACTGCTCCCTGGGCGCCGCACAATGGCAGCCCACTGCTCCCCAATGGGAGGGGTTAAATGCAGGGAATTAATTTCGTTGCTCTGTACTTGTGACAGTGGAATGACAATAAAGTTGAATTCTATTCTATTCTAGATCTAATTTTTTAGTTTCCATTTTTACAAAGCACGTTCTTTGCTTGCAGCAATAATGAAACAACTTTCACTCCATAGACATCCAGACACACTCTGGATCTCTGCAAGATTAAGAATAGAGCAGAGATTCTGTTTTTCCTCCAAACATCCCATCTAGAACAGATTAACTGTTACGTCTTCGATATCGGAGCCTAAACCGGGGCACGGACCCCCGTTGGCCTCCATCTAGAGCCGCCCATGGCACCCCTGCATGCAGAACAGGTCTTTTCTTTCTCTTGAACCGAATGCTTTTCCTTCCTAGATCAGTACCTTATTCTCGGAGCGGAGGAAGGGATTTACACGCTGAACCTCAATGAACTTCATGAAGACACACTAGAAAAGGTGAGAGAAGAAACACCAGCAGCTTCTCGCTCAGGTTTCTAACATGATCTTTGGTTTTAAATCACCTCCATCCGTCCACAGCTGCTGCCCCAGCGATGCACGTGGCTTTACGTCATGAACAACGTGCTGATGTCGGTATCAGGTACGTCTGTTTCATCACTCAGCAGGTTTTTGCTCTTTAACACCCGGAGCCTCTGAGACGGTTTTTCGTCCGTGCAGGAAAGTCGTCGCAGCTTTGCTCCCACAGCCTGACGGCTCTGTTCGAGCAGAAAGGACACGTGCACAAGCGGCACGGCAGCCTGTCTCTCAGCACCAACCGCTTCGCTGAGAGGATCATCCCCAGGTCCGTACCGGCTATGGAACGTCCGGACAGGAACGTCTAGAAACTCACACATTTTCTCTCCTTGTTTGCAGAAAGTTTGCCATATCTGTGAAGATTCCAGACACTAAAGGCTGCAGGAGATGTGGTGTAGGTAAGGGATCCGCAGCCGTTTGCTGATTTTCCACGTTAGAAATGTGGAAAATCAGCAGCTGAGTTCTGCTGGCAAGTGTCGACGCTCTAATTCTCCACACATTCTGTTGGAAATCTATTCCGCTCCCTGTCTTCCAGCCAGAAACCCCTACACTGACAGCACCTTTCTGTGCGCCGCCGTCCCATCCGGTCTGGTGCTGCTCCTGTGGTACGAGCCGCTGCAGAAGTTCATGCATCTGAAGGTCAGTGCAGATCCTCTGTTCTGGTGACGTCGCTGTAGATCAGCACTGGAAAAACTATCTAGAAATAAGTAAAAAAATATCGTAAACTAGGTGTATTTACCCGTAATTAAATGATTTGCCAATGGAATGAGGTATTTTTACTCTTTAAATAAGATATTTAGATAAAATGCACTTGAAATAGGACAATGCAATTAAGTTTTCTTATTTTTAAGTGTAATTATCTTGTTCCATTGGCAAAATGTATCTTTTACCTCCTCAATTCAAGAACCAATACTCTTATTTTTAAGAAAAATGACTTCTAGATTTAGATTTTTTCCAGTGAGTGCCATTCTACCCATTTTATTCTATGGAGACACTATATACACTGCAAAAATGATCTAGAAATAAGTAAAAATATCGTAAATTAAGTGTATTTACCCTTAATTTGAGTCGTTAAATACGATGATTTGCCAATGAAATTAGTATCTTTACACTTAAAATAAGATAATTAGATAATATGAACTTAAAATAAGACAATGTAATTGTTTTTTCTTATTTTAAATGTAAATTGTCTTGTTCCATTGGCAAAGTGTTTCAATTTCGTCCTCAATTGGAGAAAAAAATACTTAGATTTCCATTTTTTGCAGTGTATAGGGTTGCCTGCAAGTCCAGTCTATCAAAACTGGACAGTCTTTACCATTCTGCCCTCAGCTTTGCCATAATCGCTCCTTTCAAAACGCTGTCATCCGTCAACGATGTAAAATTCACTGGTTCATCTTCATTTACAAGATACGGAAGAGCATTAGGGCCACTAAAAAAAGAAATTAACTGATTTTTATATATGATTTCTGGGGAAAAAGTCAGAATTCTGACTTTAATCTCAGACTAAACTAATTCTCTTGTTTTATTCACCTTCTGCTCTTACATTAATCAAATGGCATCAGCAGGGACCCCTTAGGGGCGGAAAAACTCGCCTAATTCCATCATTTTCCACCAATGTGTACCTGTTTCTCCCAAACATCTCCCATCTTTGTCAGTGAAGCTGAGAGCTCCACATCTCTGCCTTCATGGAGCCCATCTACATTAAGATCCACTATTCTGAGATTAAAGTCAGAATTCTAAGATTATTATTGATTATAAGACCAAAGAGATGCTTTTCTCAGGGAGTTGCTGCCCCCTACTGGCACTTCATTGTAATTAAATGAAATGAAGTTTGGTTAATGTGTTTACAGGTGCTGGTCATAAAATTAGAATATCATGAAAAAGTAGATTGATTTCAGTAATTCCATTTAAAAAGTGAAACTTGTATATTATATTCATACATTACATACAAACTCATATATTTCAGATGTTTATTTTGTTTAATTTTGATGATTACAAATGACAACAAATGAAAATCTCAAATTCATCATATCAGAAAATTAGAATATTGTGAAAAGGTTCAAAATTGATGGCCCCTGGTGCCACACTCTAATCAGCTAATTAACTCAAACCACCTGCAAAAGCCTTTAAATGGTCTTTCAGTCTAGTTCTATAGGCTACACAATCATGGGGAAGACTGCTGACTTGACAGTTGTCCAAAAGACGACCATCGACACCTTGCACAAGGAGGGCAAGACACAAAAGGTCATCGCTAAAGAGGCTGGCTGTTCACAGAGCTCAGTGTCCAAGCACATTAATAGAGAGGCGAAGGGAAGGAAAAGATGTGGTCGAAAAAAGTGTACAAGCAAGAGAGATAACCGCACCCTGGAGAGGATTGTGAAACAAAACCCATTCAAAAATGTGGGGGAGATTCACAAAGAGTGGACTGCAGCTGGAGTGAGTGCTTCAAGAACCACCACACACAGACGTATGAAAGACATGGGTTTCTGCTGTCGCATTCCTTGTGTCAAGCCACTCTTGAACCACAGACAGCGTCAGAAGCGTCTTGCCTGGGCTAAAGAGAAACAGGACTGGACTGCTGGTGAGTGGTCCAAAGTCATGTTCTCTGATGAAAGTAAATTTTGCATTTCCTTTGGAAATCAAGGTCCCAGAGTCTGGAGGAAAAGAAGAGAGGCACTTCATCCACGTTGCTTGAAGTCCAGTGTAAAGTTTCCACAGTCAGTGATGGTTTGGGGTGCCATGTCATCTGCTGGTGTTGGTCCATTGTGTTTTCTGAGGTCCAGGGTCAACGCAGCCACATACCAGGAAGTTTTAGAGCACTTCATGCTTCCTGCAGCTGACCAACTTTTTGGAGATGCAGATTTCATTTTCCAACAGGACTTGGCACCTGCACACAGTGCCAAAGCTACCAGTACCTGGTTGAAGGACCATGGTATCCCTGTTCTTAATTGGCCAGCAAACTCTCCTGACCTTAACCCCATAGAAAATCTATGGGGTATTGTGAAGAAGAAGATGCAATACACCAGACCCAACAATTCAGAAGAGCTAAAAGCCACTATTAGAGCAACCTGGGCTATCATAACACCTGAGCAGTGCCACAGACTGATCGACTCCATGCCACGCCGCATTGCTGCAGTAATACAGGCCAAAGGAGGCCCAACTAAATACTGAGTGCTGTACATGCTCATACTTTTCATGTTCATACTTTTCAGTTGGCCAACATTTCTATAAATCCTTTGTTTTTATTGGTCTTCAGTAATATTCTAATTTTCTGATATGATGAATTTGAGATTTTCATTTGTTGTCATTTGTAATCATCAAAATTAAACAAAATAAACATCTGAAATATATGAGTTTGTATGTAATGTATGAATATAATATACAAGTTTCACTTTTTAAATGGAATTACTGAAATCAATCTACTTTTTCATGATATTCTAATTTTATGACCAGCACCTGTATGTTTACTCTTGATTGGTCTAATATGTAAAGTCTACGATATATAACATTTATATAAGTTTATACACTGGAAAAAACGACTAAAAATTAGAAAAAATGTCTTAAATTAAGTGTTTTTACCCTTAATTTGAGTAGGTAAATAAGATAATTTGCCAATGGAATGAATATTTTAAGTCTTAAAATAAGATATTTAGATAATATGCACTTGAAATAAGACAATGCAATTGTTGTGTCTTATTTTAACTCTATATTGTCTTGTTCCATTGGCAAAGTGTCTCAATTACCTCCTCAATTCAAGAAAAAATGCACTTATTGCAAGAAAAAATGACTTATTTAGATTTCAATTTTTTGCAGTGTATAAGTTTGTTATTAATTCGAAAAATCAAGCAAAAATAATTTAAAAAGTAGGAAAAATCTTTCCTTTTTTTGTATTGTTGTGTGTTGGGACGCCTGCCTTAGTTTTCCTCTAATAGTCCATCAATCTATTTCCGCTCTGTCTCTCTACTCTCCTTCCAGCACATATCGGTTCGGCTTCCAGACTCTCTGCCAATATTTGAGCTCCTGGTCCTGGTTAGCGATGAGTTTCCCCAGCTGTGCGTTGGGGTGAGAGAGAGCGAGAACGCCAGCCGCCAGCTCCAGTTCGATATAATAGAGCTGAACGACCCTCCTGCTGCAGTGCCGGGTAGGAGGAGCCGCTGAGCGTCTTCCCTCCGTCGCCTTAGATTATAGAGCTTCAAACCGAATTCTCTTTGCCTCCTTCATCCTGCAGATAACGGGGCCCTCAACGCCGTCCAGATTACCCAGCTGGACCGGGACACGGTTCTGATTGCAGTTGAAAGTAAGTTGATAAAAAAAACATTGATATGTGTGCGGAGTTGTGGAGAAACTGAAACACTTCAAGAGAAAGTTCTAATTGATTTTAAGTCCTTAGACGGAGAGAAAAGCTCTGACTGGTGCAATCCCAGCACACACACTCTCCCTTATGACCCATCCCTGCATAAAGAACTTCCTCACATGCGGACATTTGGAGGAAAAACAACTTCTTCTGTTCAAGGCATGAAGGAGGATAAGGAAACATTAAACACTAAACCTAGCCTTCCTTTCACCGCTATTAGGCCGAGGAAAAACCTGCTTCCACATGTGGTTCCTGATGATGTTCAGTTAAAGGAGAAGTCCGGTCGGCAAAAAATAATCAATGGATCATTAGTTATACCTCAAATTAATACGTTCGCAGTGATTTAATGAATTTAGCCTTAATCAGTAAAACAAATCTTAATAGTTTTCGTCTTGATTGGAGTCTGGGAGCGGCCATTTTTGCCCAAATCTAGTAGCCCCTCCCTCCTGCCATCTTCCAGCAGTGACGTCACGGTGCGGTAAGCCTAGCGCCATTCTCCCCGCTTTACAAGCTAAATCAATGGGAACTACTAGACACATCTGCAATCAACAACAATTATTGAAGATTTCCAGAGGACTTCACCATTGAAATTCACCAGAGCTATAGTGAAACTGACAATGCCCACGTGCATGGCAGCTGGATGCTGGAATACATCGGGTAAAAGTGAAAAAAAAGAGTTATTCCACCTTTCTGATTCCTGATCCTCCACGGACGGGTTGGTCGTTGGATCGCCAACTTGAAGAGGGAGGATTTACCATCGAACTTCTGGCCAGAGAAAAAACCCGTAATATGTAGCCAACATTTGGAAGAAGAATGTTTTCAAGATGACTTGGATAATAGCGCGTTGTGACAAACACCAGATACAGCACTGGGACTTGATCAACAGCCGATACCGCACCGTGACGTCACTAACCAGCAGGTGGCAGTAGTGTTCTTTGACAAACATGGATGCCTCCAGTAAAGCACATTCACATGAAAATTACTCTGAATTAAAAACACTGATCATTTATTGAACAGGATGGAATCATTTCACATTTAAAGAACTTTCCGAACTTTTCCTTTAACCGTGTTTCCTTTTGAGCAGAAATGGTGAAGATCGTGGATCTGAAAGGGCTCCCCTCCAGAGAGATGGCCGCCGAGATAGCCTTTGACTTCCGGATTGAAACGCTAGGTACCAACAGTGTTCTCAAAGTTGCCGTGAACCCGACTGATCTCTGCTGCCAGCTGAGTAACGATGCTTCTCCCTGCAGTCTGTTTGCAGGACAGTGTGCTGGCTTTCTGGAAGCATGGCCTGAAAGGGAGGAGTTACCGTTCAGATGAGGTGATTATCTTCACACCAGCGGCCCGCCACGTCGGGAACCTCCTCGTCTGGAGTAGAGTTCATGTTCGACAGAACTGGTTTTGTTTTGTGTTTCAGATAACGCAGGAAATCACAGATGAGAGCCGAGTGTTCAGAGTGTTGGGAACAAACAGGTCAGTTCAATATGGAGGAAAGAAATCAATATGTGAGTCAATAAATGTGAATAAACTACATACATTCATTCGACATCTTTCATCTGTGAGAATACCGGTTTAGAAGAATACACGTTACAAGGACGCTGCTAAGTCACAGATTCGGCAGTTTGATAAAAAAAGTCCAACCCCTGACGGAGCTGTTACACTCCCCACCAGGTGGGGGCAGTAATGCAGCTAAAGCTGGTTTATAAACAGACTTTTAATTAGAAAAACGACAAAAAGGAATCATTTTAACAAAGTTAGAAAACCTTTGCCGAGTTCAAATCCAGCGGCTGCATCCTCCTGATTACATCATAGCGCGGCGCCGAGGTGTTTTTCGGATTGGAAGACTTCTCGTAATGCGGCCGACAAATGCGTCTCTTTTTTGAAAGACGGGTCGATGTATTCTCCGTAGCCTTGGATATCCCATGATTCATTGCAAGTCACAGAAAGCCGGCTGCTCCCTGCTCAGAAGAAAAGGGGAAATGGCGCGAAATGTTTTGGAAGTGCAAGTATGTAAATAGTTGAATGAAAATAGTTGTTTTAATGGTCATTGAGTCAGATATGTGGCGGTAATGTTTGGTTTATCGAAAGGTTTTATCTGTTACTGTGGAAATGGGTTTGGCTGCCATTTAAACTCAGATTCCAACATCTCTAACCTGACTCCGCCAGATGGATTTGCTCCGCATATCCATCTGGAAACCTTCCGTTGAAGTAATTTTGGGAAGGGGCGAAAATACTGGTTAGCTGATTGGCCTATGTTGGTGATAGACGGGCCAAATAAACCAATCAGATCAACGAAGCATATGACGTACTAACAGAGCGACGACGAAGAGGAGCCAATTGATAGATCAAACTGTTGGCGAAACCAGTTGGGAGAAGAGCAAAAACATCTTTTCCTCTGAGAAAAGCCTCCAGAGCAGTGTTTTGCTCTTCTTTCAGTGAAGAAATACTCTGTAATTCCCATAAAACTTGCTCGATAGCCACGCTAACGCTAGTTTCATCGGCTGAAGCCGCCATGTTCTTTAGACTGAACTGTCGCGCTTCTCGTTGCGTAACACCTCAACCCGCCTCAAAGCCAACGCTGATTGGACGTTCGTTTGGTGAACGGCTCCAAATTTTCTTCAACGGAGAGTCTCCAGACTGATTAGCGAGTGAAACCTTGAAAGCTCGCGAGATCAGGATGGTCTCACGAGGCTAGAACATCTCTGCATGGGGGGCTATAAATCTGATATCTGAGCTCCTCAGAAATGTTATTAGCACCAGAACAGTAGTGAGAAGTTCTGCATCCATTCTTTGCCTGCTTTGTGTGTCAGCTATAAAAGGCTGGTTTATGCTCAGAAACCAGGTCGTCTGAATTAGTGTCGCAGTGAACACAGATATGCTCCGCCCCCTTCCGCAGATACTGAGCGCAGACAGGAGGCCTCTGATTGGTCAAATCTCCATCCACTCTACTCTATGCGCATTTCCTGTTTGGTTCCTTACCGGCTTGTTCTGTTTGTCTGGCCGCCATTGTGGAAAACGACTGGTGAAGATGGAGCAGCTAGAAGAGCGAGGTGCGCGAGAACGCTGGGACCCTTTTTCCACCTGGATCCCCGCTCTTTTTGGCCCTCATGTCCCTCCGTTGTCGCACAAACTCGCCCCCACTTCCTCTCCGCCGTATCTAGACCCACAGCTGGTTCCTGATTGGCCCTCCTACGTTGTGGCGTGGAATAACAGCGCAGACCACGCTTCTATATTGGGCATAAATCAAAAATATCTGCGACGAACTCGACGATAAGGCTGGACCTGTTTGAATCCATAGGCAAAACTATTCCATCTTCCTTATTAGTCCAGTCCAGGTAGACCAGGTAGGTAGATAACGAAGAAACCCACAGATTTTAAGACAGGATTTCTTTTTAAATAGAAATTTTCCAACTTTTGGGACAATATCGTCTAATGAAGAGTACATTTATATACATGTTTATGCCTCAATGATTCGACATTTAAATTCCTTATGACTTTAAATGTTTTTTGTACTTAACTGAAGGGATACACACCCATTGAGGTAGTTTAAAGTGTATTACTCATACAAAACTAAAGGGATATTGACTATGGGTATGCTGGTCTGACGGAACACCGGCTTTAGCTTAGATTTAGAAATATTGGACACCTACACATGTTTATATGGACAGTTAATTTACCCGATTGTAGGAATGAGACTCCATTTAACAGAATCAACACTGTTCTGTCTGCTTTGGATGAATCCATCTTTTCTGGTTTTGTTTCCTTCCCGAACAGAGACATCATCCTCCAGAGTACGCCGACTGACGACCCCTCAGCTCTGAGCAACCTCTACATCTTGACCGGTCATGAGAGCAGCTACTGAGCCGCTGGACAGGCTCCATTGATTCAGCCAATAAAATCCAGAGGGTTTTACCTCCCACAGTTAAGGAATGACCCGCTCTGAGCTGGAGTTGAAACAGCCCACAGGGTCGTACTGGGATTCTGCCGAGGTGTGGCTGCCATCCCTAATCTGGCAGAAAACCGTCTTTCTAATGAACTTCTGATGAACAGGCGCAGGAAATCAGACCTTTGATCATTAATGGGATGTTTTAATTGAGTCCAAGTGTGTCAGAATTTCCACAAAATGTCCGGTTCCAGAAGTAACTAAGGTCCGATTTGGTTATGATTGATACTCACTGAGACTAATAAGGGATATTTAAATGAGTTCATTAGCAAAGAGCTAGAATGCCTAGAGAAGTACCAAGGCGCTGCCCTCAGAGATGGAGGGAGCCCATTAAAAACTGTGCTAACTGGTCTCCGCTTGTCCTCTTCAGCCGTAATTTATCACCACGAACATTAGCAAGATATTAAAATTTAAGTGCAGCCATGAAAATGCGGTCTGTTAAGACATAAAATAAAACATGCTCAGAGTTGGACAGTCTAGGTTAGGAAGGATGAAACCAGGCCTAGTTTTCCTTCTTTATTATATGCTGTGGAAATGAGAATTTTGGACTTAATCTCTGGATTTTTCACCTCTGAGCTCATTCATCTCTGAAATATAAAACTCAGCAAATTTACCCTCTCACATTTTTCTTTGCAGTAAAACTTCCTGTTTTGAGATGCATTAAATGGTAGCGGCAGCGCAGTACTACCAGGGGCCTATAGGGGTGCTAAAGCTGAAGTTACCTGTGTAGGTACCAGATCTACTCGGGCCCTGCTTCATGCAAGCGACGCTACGCCATATGTTTGGCTGAAGATAGACAATAACAGACATCCCAAGTCTCCTGGTAGTTCCTGGAGTCTCCCTGATATCGATACTCGTTCACTGATGCCCGCGAGTCCGATAAATTATCCCGGATTTTAGACTATGGGAGGTGGGGGTTTTTTTATGCGAGTGAGAGCGAGCAGGCAATACAATAATTCGTGCACCAAGTGCAGATTAGAACTACTGCGATTGCATAGACACAACAAGAGAGCGCGGGGTGTGGGGAGGAGGTTGCTGGTGAAACCTGTGCAGCTTTTCTGTCCAAAGAGATGCTCTGATCAACCAGCGATCCAGGAGACTGGTTGATCACAGAGACAATAAGTAACATTATGAGAATAAAGTAATTAAATCACGAGATAAAGTCGCAATATTATGAAAATAAAGCCGTAAAATTAGGAGAAAAAAGTCGTAAAATTAGGAGAAAAAAGTCGTAAAATTTGGAGAAAAAAAATCGTAACATTACGAGAATAAAGTCGTAAATTTAGGAGAATAAAGTTGTAACATTACGAGAATAAAGTCCTAAAATTAGGAGAAAAAAGTCTTAACATTATGAGAATTAAGTCGTAAAATTAGGAGAATAAAGTCGTAACATTACGATAATAAAGTCGTAAAATCACGAGAATAAAGTCGCAACATTATGAAAATAAAGCCGTTAAAATAGGAAAATAAGTCGTAAAATTAGGAGAATAAAGTAAAATTAGGAAAATGAAGTCGTAACATTATGAGAATAAAGTCGTGAAATTAGGTGAATAAAGTCGTGAAATAGGTGAATAAAGTCGTGAAATTAGGTGAATAAAGTCATAACATTAGAGAATAAAGTCGTAAAATTAGGAAAAAAAAGTCGTAACATTACGAGAATAAAGTCGTAACATTACGTGAATAAAGTCGTAAAATTAAGTGAATAAAGTCATAACATTAGAGAATAAAGTCGTATAATTAGGAGAAAAAAGTCGTAACATTACGAGAACAAAATCGTAACATGTGAATAAAGTCGTAAAATTAGGTGAAAAAAGTCATAACATTAGAAAATAAAGTCATAAAATTAGGAGAAAAAAGTCATAACACTACGTGAATAAAGTCGTAACATTAGAGAATAAAGTCGTAAAATTAGGAGAAAAAAGTCGTAACATTACCAGAATAAAGTCGTAAAATTAGGAAAATAAAGTCGTAATATTACGAGAACAAAGTCGTAACATTACGTGAATAAAGTAACATTACGAGAATAAAGTCGTAAAATTAGGTGAATAAAGTCATAACATTAGAGAATAAAGCCGTAAAATTAGGAGAATAAAGTCGTAAAATTAGGAGAATAAAGTCGTAACATTACAAGAACAAAGTCGTAACATTACGAGAACAAAGTCGTAACATTAGGAGAATAAAGTCGTAAAGTTACGAGAAAAAACCTGTAATATGAAGACGATAAAGTCCTAAAATCACGAGAATCACGTTGTATTTTATGACAACTCTTCCAAGAAGCCCTTTCTTTCCTAAAATGATGAATATTGGAGCATCATGTGAAGTTATACTTTAACATCGGATTGACTAATCAGGAAATCATATTTGTCGTTTTTAAGGTCGGGGGGGGAAAAAAAGGACATCTCATGTGCGTGACAGCTGACCCGATTGCCTTCACCCCTCCTGCCATTTTTTTAGTTCCCCTTTGTGTGAGAAATCATTTTTTTAACATTTGACTCAAATCTGCTTAGAATTAGATGCATATTAGTGAGCGACATGAACACATAGAAAATAAATGATTATCCAGAAATTCACTTTAATACAAAATAACAAACTTTGCTGAATAAAATAAGTATCTTAAACATCAGCCAGTCCTGCTTAACTTCAAACTGTAAAAATGAATATAAAACAATAAATAAATACTGCACATTTTTGGTGCAACAGCAAACCTGTAAACATATTTGTGCTTAAATGCAATGACTGTAGGCTACAGTTGGAAAACAGAAATAAAATCATTAGCTTAATGCCACATAATGTGGCGATAGCCGACTTTTTCCACGTGAATTTCCTGTGAGCTCTTGCAGCAGTGAGGAGTTGTCCGCCCCTAAAAGCAGCGTCAGCATTTAACCGTTCGTCTCCCATGATGCTCTGTTGTCTCTCGCTATCTTCTCCGTGAGCAACACTTGGCTCGACCAATGGGATGAGGGGATTCTGGATTGTTACATATATGCTGTCAGCTCATTGGTCACAGCGTAGCACAGGGAGGGGAACAAGTTTACCGTAAGTTCTGTATCTAACGTGCCCTTGTTCTTCATTTTCCATTAGCTTTTTACTAACTATTTTTTTATTCTCACAGTAATAAGGGACAAAGTGTGCTCCTTTTCCACCAAATACGGGACAGGTACTTCTATTTCTAAATTCGGAACGTTTCCGTTTTTCAAGGGACGGTTGGCAACCCTAGGAGTGGGGTTCGATAAGCATGTCCCAGCTTTTGGAACTTGGGATGACATCACGCAGCGTGTCCGTGTGCTGAATCGGGAGCATCTGTAGCGTTAGCGTGTCTAATGACCGATGAAGTTTAACCTGATCGATAACAAAACTGAATAAAATCTGTTTCTGGTGAACAAAGTAACTGTTAGACCACGATATAAAGGGCGAGAGCTGGGTAGCGCTGCGGCTAGCTGTAGCTAACAGGTTAGCCTCTTTCAGCTCAGTCAGTTAGCCATATTAAGCTACACTACTTTTGAATTTGTATCAACAACAACCGTTTGTTTTCTACAAGTAGAATAACTGTTTTATTTTTCTAAAATCTCTATGAAAGTCATTTTTTAAGATGTTCCATTTGTCCTCCTCTGACCTCAGATCTTAATAAAAGAATAAAAATAAACTGAGACTTTTCTGTCACCTTGTTAAATGTCAGAGCTCAGTCTGTCTTAGAAGTCAGTGCTTTCCTTCAAGTCTGACAATGATTGTTTTCTACTTTCAGCTACTTTAGATCGCAGATGAAATTCAATTCTTAAGAAACTGAGCAGATCTGGTACCTACAATGGTTTAGAGCCCCTAGTGGCGAAAATTACACAGTGTTGATTTAAAGCCACTGTCACACCTTGACAATTCAGACCAGCTTATGCCTGACGTACGAAAAATTTGTCAAAAACGCTAGCATACGTTGGATAAGTTATGAGTACGCTGAAACATGTCAACATACAGGGAGTACATACCGCCATATGCCAGCGTATGCTCGTACATGGGCCATAAGTTACAGGTAAGTAAGTATTTTATAACTTAACGTTATAGTTACTCATAAGTAGCGCAGGGATTAAAGTATTGACCACCAAAAACCGTCTTTCTTTCTTATTCCTTTTTATTCTTTTTTTGGGGGTGGGTGGTAAACAACAGCTAGGTTAATCCCGCAATCAAAGACATCTTTTTATCTTTACGCCTTCAGGCGCATCGCTGCCCCCTTCAGGACACTGGCTTGTTCATTATGCTGCCATCTGTTCTGCATAAGTCAGGCTGCCATTGGACAGAAGTTCTGGACTCGTTACGAATACTCTATTTATACTCCCAAAATAGAAAAAATACATAAAAAGTTCAGCATATGCCAGCATTTTAGGAGACGTCAGGCATTCGCTGGATAAATCGGCAAGGGGACCAGAGTTCTGCTGCACCCTGACCTGTGAAAACCAGCGGTTGGAGAATATCTATGCAATGCTGCGTTCAGACCGATCACGGTTCCAGAACCAGGATTTATATGCAGAGCGTTTGGTGGACATGACTCAAGAGGCTCTATCCTTATCCTTTGCTCCTCAAACTAATTTTTATTTCATATTGTGATACTTCCAGCTTTTTGCCTCCTAAAAAAAAAAAATATTTTCTTCTCTTAAAGCTGCAACGAATGGCAGTGAGAATCACAGAGCCTTGCTGGTTTGATGCAGCCGTTAGCCTGTTAGCCTCACAGAGTGAGGTCACAATCCTGACGAGCTGAGTGCGTGGATCACATTGGAGCAGGACCTTTGACCTCTTTCCTGCTCATCACAGCAAATAAAACAAAGCATAGCAATAATGATCAGAGCTGCGCTCCTTCTACATAACAATCCATTCTTCTGGCTTTTATCTAACATTTGGAGTTTAACTCCTTGATATTTACTTATTTTTCACATGCAGAATGTCTGCAGAAGCGATGACAGCTTGCAGGTAGTGTCTGTCTGTCTCCCCAAAAATTCTCCTGGATCAGCTTTTCTGATTGGTTGATGCTCCGCCGTCCAGCGCCTAAAGTTCAATGTGCTGAACTCCAGCATCCGACGCTCAGATGCCAGAATGTCAAACTTTTTTTTTTTCCAGCTCAGCATAGTAATACGCATTACATAGAGTGTCCTCTGACTCCATTTTCCCTACAGCCAATCACGCTGTTTTATTTACCAATTTAGTCCAATTTTTGTCATAGTTTGGAGCAAAAAACAGCAAAACAAGTCCTTCACTAGGTTCACCACACATTAGCTTTAGAAAAAACTCATTGCATGTCCGTTTGACGAGGATCTGATTAAAGAATGATCGCATTTATTTACAGAGAATTAAATATTTATAGGGAGACAAGACATGAGATTTATTTGTTTTAAGTTTGTTTAATATGAGCGGTACAACGGAGTGTTAGGGCCAGGCTAGAGATTTTTTTTTTGAGAATAAAGTCGTAAAAAAACGAGAATGAAGTCGTAACATAACGAGAATAAAGTCGTAACATAACGAGAATAAAGTCATAACAAAACGAGAATAAAGTCCTAACATAACGAGAATAAAGTCGTAACATAACGAGAATAAAGTCGTAACATAACGAGAATAAAGTCGTAACATTAT